TCACTGGGATTACAGGTGTGTGCCACTGCTCTCGGCTGCCAATTTGAATTTAATTTCAATTTATTTTGTATTTTTGTCTGTTCTTTCGTTTTGTGGTGCTGGTGATTAATCCTAGGACCTTTCATACGTTAGCCAAAGTCTCTGCCCCTGAGCCATCACATCCCCAGGTCCATTAAATTTATTTGTTTCTTAATAGTCAATCTATTAATCACTATTTATACTCCTGCATGACATTCTTTTCCTTATGCATGCCTTTTCTATAGTTTTTCAAGTTCTGCTCATATTTAAAATGCCTGTACAGCTGTGAAACATGGACTCTCTGCTCTGTGGATTTCCACCTTCTTAGTACTGTGGGAAGATCAGTATTACTCCTGACCAAAGTTCTTTTTTGGGAGTGGGGAGCAGAAGGAAAGAAGGTAGCAAGATGGCTCAGTGAGTAAAATCACTTATTGTGAAAGTCTGAAGACAGAGCCTAGTTCCTGGAACACACATAAAGGTGACAGGAGAGAGTCAGCTCCACAGAGTTGTCCTCTGACCTCTATGTACTCACCATGGCACACATGCCTACGGACTCACCCATACCTATAAAAGGAACTTTTATTCACTTGTTACAATTGTTGTCTTCGACTCTGTCTGTTAACCTAGGCCTAGAATGTTTTCAGCCTGAGACTTACTGCTGAATAAGCTCACCCTTATTCTTCCTGAGCTGGTTCAACTCAGCTGTTCTGGCTCAAACTCCTCTTCCAGCTGGCTTATTCAATCTGACTTTTCTCTCCAGTTCTGAATTGCTGTGCTTGGACTCAAATTTTTATAATCTCTGGCTCCTTTCTCAATCTCTGGCTCATTCAGTCTTCACTTGAGTTCTCTCTCTGCAACCTATTTCTCTATTACTGTCTCTGTAAAACTGTCTCCTTCCTCTCTCTTCTCCCTCTCTCCCCCCTCTTATTCTCTCTCTCTCTCTCTCACACACACTGCCTCTTAAATAGCTTCCCTTCCCGTGGGAGCTGGGCATATCCTATTCCGTCAAGTCTTTCTCTGATTTGTCATTGTTTCTGCCACTCAATTAAACATCACCTTCAAGCATTGCTGCTTCTTTCTACAAACTAACTTTACCTTTGTTGTTTAGGATTAAAGGCATGTAACACCAACCCTAGAACTGAAACTTGAGCTATACCAGGCTGGTCTTGAACTCAGACCTGCTTGCCTCTGTCTCCTGGATTAAAGGCCTATTTGTATTTCAGCCGGATTTCGGATTTCACAGACCTAGAAAGTCTTGGGATGTGATCTCTTGCCAGAACAGCCAAGTTCTGAATTAAAATTACTCTAGACACACACACGCACCACACCCACAGACAATGAAACAAAACAAAACAGAAAATAAACAACCCGAAGGACAGATAGTACATAATACATCAGGACAACTGCTTAGAAAGTTTTCAACATGGGTATGATGATTCATGCCTTTAATCCCAGCATTATGGTGACAGGCAGATCTTGAAGCCAGCCTGTCCATCTAGCAAGATCCAGGCCAGTCAAACAGTAAGACTCTGTTTCAAAATACCAAAACAAAATAAAATAAATGTCTCAATAAATTAATTTAAAAATTCTTCAGAGTTACTCAAAAAATTTTGTGGGCTGCTCAATAATCTATTTTCTACTAGATTTTTTAAATAGTTCTACATCCTCTTATTTACTATATTAATTTCAAAAAAGCATTGAAAATAAAATATTTTCTTAATTTTTGTGACAAATTGTGTCGTGACCTCATTCATTTCATATTAAACTTGACCTTACTGATAAAAAAATCTGTTCTGAACTAAAGAGAAACTGTTGTGTGTCTTATGTATTCTTATTAGCGTAATAATAATGTTTTTTAATAAAAAAAATTAATGTGATTTTTTTTTTTGTTACTGCCCCAGACCCTTTGAGACATCATACAACATAAAATATACCTGTCTAAATTCCAAAACATTCTGAAATCCACCTGGCAGGTATTCCGTATTTCACTGATTGTCTTAGAATTTCAATTAAGCTGGGCATGGTGGCAAACACCTGTAATCCCAGCACTTCCAGAGGCAGGTGTATCTCTGTGAGTTTGAGGGCAGCCTAGTCTACAAAGTGAGTTCAGGACAGCCAAGGCTACAGAGAAACCCTGTCTCAAAAAAAAACCAAAACCAAAACCAAAAACAAACAAACAAACAAAACCCCCCAAAACCAAAAAACAACAAAACAAAACAAAAAACTAACAGAAAGTTCAATTAAGTATCAAGAGGATATGTGTTTATCTTTGGGGGGAGAAATATGGTCAAAAACTCAGGAAACCATTATTACATGTAATAAAGCAAGCTGAAAATCCAAAATAAAGATCTTCATGAGGATAATGTGATCTAAAAACCCAAGAAACTATCACAAGTAATAAAATAAGTATACCTGCAGAAAATTCATCTTTCAACTTTGGTTTGTTTTAGAGCATTGTTTTTCTGGCTTTATTAACTGAATTAACTTACGATTTGCAACTTATGCTAACTAGTATGTATGTAGTCTAACTAGTATGTAAAAGTATTGATGCGAATGATAAAAGGTTCCTTTTGCAAAAAGCATGCTTATAGAATTTCTGTGTTCACATTTCTTAAGGAACACAGTTCTCTCTACTATTACCTGGATTTTGCTCTTGTTTCTTCTTATTTCTTTGGTCCTTTTGATCTCTGACAAAAGAATGCAGATCAGATACCAGAGTGTAGTATAGAAGATGGGTAGTTTATTGCAGAGTGAAGGAGCACACACACTCAAGGAGTGAAAGTGGACAATGACTAAAGAGACAATTGTGCCAGCCTACATTTCTCTTGGGTAGCTTTGTACTATTTTTTTTTTTTAATGTATGTCTATGTGTCTGATTACAAACATACACTTGAGTGCCCTCAGAAGCCAGAAGAGGGTATTGGATCCCTGGGAGCTGGAGTTACAAGTGGTTGAAGTCCTCAGCAAATATGTGTGGTTGACATGAGGACAGCCATGTCAAGGACCCCAATGCCCAAGATCCATGTAAATGGCAAAGCCTTCCCCTAGTCTGAGTTTGAAAGCTGACAGTGTGTATAAGAGCGTCTACCACCGTTTCCTCCTCCTGAGTGCTTACAGCTTGAGACTACTCCCCTACACAGACTTTTCACAGAGTCAGCATAGCACATCTCATTCCTGCTTTTCTGTATGTGTGTCTGTGGTTTCTTCAGTGTCTGCCATTTCTTCATTGCCAAGTCACCCTACCCAGGTTTCTAAGACCAAGCCTCACAGGATTCAGCAGCTACAGATAGACGTGAGCTACTGAATGTGGGTTCTGGGAACAAACTCTGGTGTTTTGCAAGAATGGCAAGTGCTCTTACCTGCTGAACTTCCTTATGAAGAACCCTGCCCAGGCAACTGACAGGCCCATTTGGATTAAGGGAGGGGACAATGGTACTCTTTATTTTAGCAGAAAGCCTGGACTAGACAGTAGTCTTATGATCTTTCTCCAGAATATTGCATCTCTTACTCAGCGTAAGAGATGACTCAGATCACATGTAGGGCAGGCTAGTCTTGAACTTACTATGAAGCTGAGGATGACCTTAAAATTCAGATCCTTCTGCCTTCTCTCTGCAGAATGCTGGGATTACAGGCATGCACCACCAGGCCCTGTTCATACAGGATATTCTAGACAATCTCTAGAAAGCCCCTCTACCATTTGAGCATCACCCTCAGGTCCTTATCCCATTCTTCTAAACAGAAATCAAAGGCCTGCAATTTTGATTCCTGGTTTTAGAAACGGCTAATTATGAGGAAGGAGTTTATCTTCAATAAACTTTAAACCTCCTAATATCTGACCAGTTACCCAGCCACTAACAGTAGGTTGCAGGCTCTAATGCTATCAGTTAACTATCTTGATGCTGTTTGTGACTGTCTTCTAAGTCAAGCAACTGCCATCTTGGGGAGTTTAGCAGTGCCTCCTTGCAAAAGGATTGTCCCAGCTGGGTTTTGTTGACCACATCCTCTCCTGAAAGAGTTGGAAGACCCTAACCTGAGTATCTAGCCACTCCCTACCACCTGTTTATATGCCGCTCTGCCTTAATTTCCTTAATTTCGCAAGGGACTAGAAACAGGGGTTTTCAACCTTCCTAATGCTGTGACCCTTTCATACAGTTCCTCATGTTGTGATTTGCCCCAGCCATAAAATTATTTTGTTGGCACTTTATAACTGTAATTTTGCTATTGTTATTAATCAGAATGTAAGTATCTGATATACAATATATCTGTTATGAAAACCCCAAAGGGGTCTCAGCCCATGGGTGAATAACCACTGGGCTAGATAGCGTGTATAGGCTGAAGAAGACTAGGGAAGGGGACCTCCACCTATGCTACTAGGGGAAAGCCATTGTCCCCACTGAGCAAAGACTTCCAGGTGCAGCCTTTTAGAAGAGCACCCACAACCCATGGGTAATCCCTCTCATGCTCTGTAGGTTCAATAAACTCAGCGGTTCCCCAGAGTGAATTTTGGTAGGATCATTATATTACATTAATTATATTATTATAATTATATTATATTAATTAGATTATATTATATTGGAAATGAAAGAACTTGAAAGCAGATTTTTGTATATTATTAGGCGTTTTAATGTTTAACCTATCTGTTACCCTTTCTTCGCTGGTGATACTGTAAATGTCATCAGTTTCATGGCAACCCGGGAATATGGTGACTGAAACCGTGATAGCTCTGACAGTTTGTTGGGGGGTTCTCTAATGGAACGCATGTATTGGCTCAGACATTTATTTAAGACCCAGGTCACCTCTGGGCAATCCTTCCCACCTCGCTGGTAAGTCAGTTAACTTGTTTCAAACGACTGCGTTTTGTGGTGATTGCATCACTGAGCAGAGGCCCCAGAGGAATGCAATCCGGGAAAACACCAAGGGCTCTCCACAGCGGGCGGGTGGGGCGTGTCGCCGCGGAGCATGCGCAGAGGCGGCGGCGGAAGCGAGCGGTCCTGGGGCGGAAGTGACGCGACGCCGGTTCTCCGCTTCGAGAAGGTGTAGCCGGTCCGCGCTGGGAGGCGGCGGTGGTGGCCGCTGAGCTCCGGAGCGGGGTGTAGCGTGCCGGGCGGAGGCCCTGACGGGTAAGACTGGAGGGCGGGCCGCGAGCCTGGCGGGGGGCCGGGTGCTCGCGCTCCGTTTCGGCCCTGGAACTTGGGCCTGGCGAGTGTTGGGAACCGTCTCCGTGGTGACGAAGCTCTCCTTCCCAAGGACAAGCTTCTCCCGGGCTGCGATTGTGACGTGTGCCGGGCTTGGGGTGGTCGTGAGTGGGAAGCGCGGCGGGAGCGGTCGTGCTAGGCCGCGGCTGGCCGGGGCCTCCGTCGGCCAGGAGACTGGTAGAGTGGCGAGAGCGCTAGGCCGCGGCGAGACGGGGAGGACCCAGCCCTGGGACAAGTCGGACTGTTTTGGTTTGAGTAGCCTCTGGAGGAAGAGGCGGGGACTCCGTGCGCCGCCTGGCCTTGCGGTTTACCTGTTTTGGCCGGATCTCCGGCGTCTCCTGGGCTGAGGGATTAGTTAATTCTCGTTGTTTGGGAAGCAGGCCCCTCCCGCCCCTCGCCTCCCGCCCCCGTTCCCGGAGAAGGCTCTGGGAAATGTTGGGGAGGTTCGCTTCGCTCTTTGGCCTTTTGGACTTTCTTTCACGCCCCGCCTCCCTCGCCCCACCCCCTGCCGACGTTCTGAGGTGTTTGGACCGGTGCGACGGTGCAAGACGTATTGCGACTTGCGCTCAGCGCCCTGAAACTGTGCTGTTAGAACTTAGCTGGGGCGGACGCTTGTATTTCTCTATTGAGAACTGTGAAGTACAATTTGCTCCTGAAAGTTTGGTTAGAAAGCGTTGTGGCATTTGACTGTGAAAGGCTTTTGGCTTTACAGTTAGGCTAACCGCTTCCTAGCTGTGGTTAACTTTGGTGATCAGTACGCGAACAAATACTAATTAAAGTGTTATTGTTCAACCCAAAACATTTGAAAGAAATTATTTGAATAACATTAGTTGAAATGGGCTGATTAAGTGGGCTTGCCATCTTTAAGGAGCTTTAAGTTACTCTCCTTAAGGAGGAGAGTGGAGGAGAGGCCGAGGCTGAGCGCTCTCCTGCGCTCTCTTTTCAGGGGATAATTGCATCTCTGTATGTTCCTCCGGAATGTTAGGAATACAGGCAAATAGCACCACCCAGGATTTCACTTAGATTTCTGCAAGAATATATTTGACTATGCTAGAAATGACTGGATAACCTCATCCCCTTTATTAAATTTAAAATAAAATTGTATGTATACTTGTTTTCAGGTTATTAGTTAGCTGCATGCCGTTTGCTTTAAGCACCTCAGCCATGTATGTCAAATTTAACCAATGAATATCTTTTCTAGGACAATTGGCATTATTAGTTGCAACCTTTAAAGGATGCTGTTTTTTTTAAAAAAATTTTTTAGACTTACTTTATGTGCATGAGTATTTTGGCCGCATTTATGTATGTGTACCATGTGTATGCCTGGTTGCACATAAGTTAGAAGAAGGTATCAGATCCTCTGGATCAAGAGTGATTGTTGTGAGCCACCATGTAGACACTGGGAACTCACCCTGGGTCCTTTGCAAGAGGAACAAGTGCTCTTAACTCCTGAGTCATCTCTCCAGCCCCTAGTTTTATTATACATTGACTGATTGTTTTTTTGTTTTGTTTTTGTTTTTGTTTTTGTTTTTGTTTTTTGAGACAGGGTGTCTCTGTATAACTTTGGCTGTCCTAGACTTGCTTTGCAGACCATGCTAGCCTTGAACTAACAGCAATCTGCATGCCTCTGTCTTTCCCAAGTGCTGGGATTATGGGCTTGGGCACCGAGACCGGCTTGGCTGCTAAGTTTTTATGCATGCTCCTAACTATACGTGTATATTTCTTTGGAAGAACTACCTTACCTGTAAGGTTTATTTTTACTTATTTATTGTCAGGGTCTCACTATGTATCCTTGGCTAATCTGGAACTCTCCATGTAATTCAGATTGGCCTTGAACTCAGAGATCTGCCTGCTTCTACCTACCTTCTGAGTGCTGGTAAAATTTATTGTAGTATTTTCTTTTGGAATGGTTGTTGGAATGTAAACTTGGGTTTTATGCACGTGTGGCTCTAAAGTTTACACATTTCCTCTCCCCTAATACTTAAGGGGCAAGAGCATAGTATCTTAGAAATGAATTTGTAAAAAAATACAAAAAGTAAGTTAAGTCAAACCTGATGTTTTGTCACCTGGAATTCTAGCACTTGGGAGGCTGAGGCAGGAGGAGTGTCATGAGCTTGAAGCCAGCCTGAACTACAGCACATGGAGCCTTTCTCAAAAGAAAACAATAACTGGGTGGCAGCTGGACAGAATATAGGGATACTCAGCTGCTAAGGCTCCTGGAGATAGAGATGTCTTCAGGGTGCAAATTAACAAGTCTTGTTTCTGCCTCCTAGAAAGTTGGCTGATATTATCTTTCTGAGAATATGGTATTCTACAAACTATGCAGAGCCGAACAGTGAGTAAGGGAACTTACTGAATACCAGGCTATTTTTACTCCTCTTCAGATGTTTCAGTCTTTTAGGATTTAAGTTTGAAGAAATTAATACATACATTCCTACACGTACACACACACACACACACACACACACACACACACACACACACAATTTATTTATTTGTTTGTTTGTTTGAGGCAGGGTCTTGCTTTGTAGCCTTGGCTGGTCTGGAACTTACTGCGTAGGTGAGGCCACTTTAAACTCATAGAGGTTGTCTGCCTGTTTCCCAAGTGCTAGAAATAGGTTCCTGTTTTTCTAACTGAAGATTTTTAAAAACATTGGCCGTCAACCACTATCTTAATTATAGTACTTTGGAAGGGTATAATGTTTTCTATTGAAGTAAGTTAGACACTTTTTTCTTTTTCTTTTTTTACTGGCTTCCTTTTATTGACTCTATTCTTGAAATTTCTGACTGTATGCAAAAGGAACCCTGAGCAGTGAAATTAAGATTTTTGCTATTATTTTATTGCTCCCTCCCTTCCTCCTTCCCAACACATTTTGTTTTTTCTTCTGGAGTTTTTAAAGCAAATGCTATAAATCAAGCCTTTTCACCTATAGTTAGTAGCTAAGTAATGAAGACTTAAAACATATAATGTAATATATTACACAGAGCTTTTATGAAGCTTAATTTTAGGATTGGTGAAATAGCTAAAATTTAAAAAGTCAAATTTAATTTCCTATGGAGCCACTGGAACAATTACTACTACAGAAAGCTGCTTTGTTTGGGGCTAGTAAAAGCCCAAGAGTGGCAAATAAAGATGACATTGAAATGCTTTTTCTGTCCTAATTTTAGCTGTTTGCTTAGGTGAATGTCTACTATTCTTACTTATCTTGCCTTTAGAGAATAGCAAATTGTAGAAACAATAAAATTGGGTGTTAGTGCAAAGATTTCAGAGCAGTGGTTCTCAACCTTCTTAATGTTGCTACCCTTTAATACAGTTCCTCCTGTTGGAGTGACCCTTAATATTAAAATTATTATCATTGCTACTTCATAACAGTAATTTTGCTCCTGTTATGAATAGTAATGTAAATATCTATATTTTCGAATGATCTTAGGCAACCCTCATGAAAGGGTTGTTAGGGACCCACAGGATGAGAACTTCTGTCATAGAATGTACTTTACAGCCTGACACACCTAAAGGAATTGTGTTGGTATTAGAACTTTGGGACCGTAACAGGAAGTTCACTGTAGCATTTCAGACATTGGTTCCTAGACACATATGTTAGGCCTTTCAATTAGTAACTGAGAATTTTTTATTTATCACTTCCCAACTTAACTGTACTTGATTCTGTAGAGACAAGGAAGCAGAGTCTGGCATGGTAAATACAGTGCCTACTGTATTTCTCTTTCCAGCTAATCTGGGTTGTTCTTTCTGGATGCCAGTGGAGTTACACTTCCCAGGCATTACCACATGGTAGTGCAGTGACTTTGCACATGGCTTCTGTGCATGTGCATTCTGGGCATGTGCATTCTGGACATTCAGCATTCTCAGTGAATTCTAGTGTTTTTAGTAGCTTTCCTGTCATTTCAGTGTGTTTCTTACCTGTGGGAAGAGTGAAGTAGAGTTACTGTGTAGGAGTGAGAATTTTTTTTTTTTTTCAAATTTAAAATTGATGATTCAGGTTTTGTCCATATCTGTTAACTTTTTTAAATTAGAAGCTATATTTTCATAAAGGTAAAAAAAAAACAAAAACAAAAACAACAAACCCAAGCCAAAATAATAATAGACTATCTTTTGTAAAATACTTCTATAGTTTTAATAGCATTGATTACATTTTTCTGTGCTCCTGAGGATAAAACAGGGGGCTTCAGTACAACTGGCTACATTTCCAGATCTTTGTGTTTGTGTGGAAGCCAGAGTTTGACGTTAAGTGTTTTCCTCTGTGGCTGTCTATCATATTTATTTGTTTTGAAGATAGTCTCTCATCGAGCCTGGATTTTGCTGGTTCAGTGAGTCCCTGGAATCTGCTTTTCTTTGTGCCCAAAGCTCTGGGGCCTGCAGGTATATGCCTGGGGTCCAGACTCAGGTCCTAATGCCTACAAAACAGATAGTTTACCCACCAAGGCATCCCTCTAGTCCCTTGTTTTTTGGGGGTCAGGGAAGGGGGTATCAGGCGAGGCTGGCCTTAAGATCTCTGTGTAGCTGAGTGATGACCTTGAACTCTTGATTCTGCTTCCCAGTGCCAGGGTTACAGTTGTGGGCCACCATGCCTGCCTTGACCACAGATTCTTACTTTTTTGATGTGAACATCATGAATATGTGTGTGTGTTTATTAAAAACTTATTTAAAATGAAGTTTTATATCAATATGGTCATTTAAAACAAACATTAACATTTATAAATACTTGTAGAAGTTTAAATAATACATTGAGTTGGTATATTTTCCCAGAAGTGATTTCATTTTCCTTTTTTTTTTTTAATAGTACCTATTATTAGAGAGAGGCCATCAGGTTTATATTGGCAGAGCCTACTATTGGTTTCTTTGATTATTGTCAGGAAAGATGGCTTGGTTTTCCAAGGAGAGCTGCATTGCATTGAGTTGAATTTTGTTTCAAGACAGATTTTACTATCTTTTACCTTTTAAACTCACTTGTAGCTTCCTGATTCATACTAGCTTTAGTTCCTCAGTTTATATTTTTGTATTTGGTCATATTTTAAAGGAACATATCTCATGTTCAAGGCATATACATATTGAAAATTAGAATCGAAAAAGTTAGGTTTGTGTGTGGGCTTCATATATGAGAGCCAAGTACTTGACTCTCTGAGTTGTATCCCCATCCCCAAAGGTTATATGGGTTTTGAAAGTGCAAGTTTATAGTTGACAGTGCTTAACCTATGTGAATTACTCATTTCAGATTCACAATGACATCCTTTCAAGAAGTTCCATTACAGACTTCCAACTTTGCCCATGTCATCTTTCAAAATGTGGCTAAAAGTTACCTCCCTAATGCACACTTGGAGTGTCACTACACCTTAACTCCATATATCCATCCACATTCCAAAGATTGGGTTGGTATATTCAAGGTAAGAAAACCTTCTGTGAGTATTTCTTCCATGTAGATTCATTTTATCTTCTTAGAAATTATATTTGTTTATTTTGTGGTATTCATGCTTGTGTGTGCGTGATCACATTCCACAGTTTGTGTCTAGTCAGGACAACTTGAAGGAGTTGGTTTAGTTGTATCCTTCTGTCATATGGGTTTCAGGGATTGAACTCCAGTCATCAAGCTTGGGGGTAGGCACCTTTACTCGAGGGGCCATCTCAGGTGCCTTAAGCTCATACTAGCCATGTCTTAACAAACGCTGCATTAAGGTTCAGTGTTGTAAATATCACTATGTGATAATATAGCACCATGCAGTCACTTAAACACTGGGAACTTAATCTCACAGTTCTTCTCTGTGATCCAAAGGTCCAACTTGGATAAGGTATTTGTAAAAACTTTTTAGGATCGTTTTGTGTATGTGCATGCACCTGTGTTGTCTGTTCTAGGGACTGAACCTAAGGCTTCATGCTGTACAAGTGAGCTGCATTTGCAGCTCAGAATCCTTTTTAAAAAATATTCCAAAGTTTCTCCCATTTTACCCTGAGGGGAAAAAAAATAACTGATTTTTTTTAGATTTTCAAATTGTATACTCTCTCCTAGTAATTTGTGATTTATTAGTCATCTGTAGCCATGTATTGCTTCTTTTGTTATATAACTTAAATATTGCTCATCTTGTATTTGTACTGCTTTTAGGTGACTATTCTATTTTGGTTGAGAGAACAGTAAATTCTTTGTTGGCTGGTTCATGTAGTCACCAATCATTTTTTCGTAATATCAACTTGAAAATTATGATTTAATGGTTACAACTTTGGTATTTATCATGCAGGAGATTTTCTACATTTTTCTGGCTATTCAGAATATAGTACAGAACAAACATTGTCATTTGATCATGTAGTTCATAGCTAGGCAAACATAGTTTTAAAATTTCAAAAGGTTTGAAAAAAATTTTTAGCTCTTTTCTGTTTATTGCATGAAAGAACTATACTAGTCCAGGTTAAAAGTGGACCCTGAGTGGTTATATTACACAAACTTGATGTTTTTAAACATCAGGTAGGAGACTGAAGGGAAAGTCCACTTACTGCAAGACTTCAGAGAGCCACAAGCACTGAAAACCCACGAGCCTTCATCTGGTCGTCCTTAGCAGTCCAGTCTCTATCAGGAACTGGCTTATGTTCGTTCTTGCACTGGTCATCCTGTAGCTGAATTACTTCTCCATGTTCTGGATGCTCAATTATAGTACCATTGCAGGCAAACTTCCTAAAGGCCTTCACTAGTTTCTTTTTGTTGTAATCATCAGTGATTCCTTAGATGGTAGTAAGAGTCTTTCTGCTGTTTTCTTTGTTGAATTTTTATACGGATATAATCATCTGTGCCTGAAGAAAGCAGGTCATCACCCTTACTTGCATCAGCAAAAGGGGTTAAAAGTAGAATATTTATGTTGTAGCTAACATCTTTGTTTTTTTGTTTGTTTGTTTTGTTTTGAGAGCCTTACTGCTAGTGTAGGCTGACTTAGAACTCTGACCCAGACCTCACTGTGTAGCCCAAGCCCAGGCTTGTCTTGAATTTGTGAAGGCTTTTGTAAAACTGAAAGAAGTTAAGCCAAAGAGTGTCAGTTGAAAGTTCTGTTAGCTAGCTCTTGTCCCAAATTTGGGGTGCTTGCTTGAGCATGCAAACCCTGCCCACAGGCCCTGTCCACAAAATGCCAAGGCTCAGAGTTACAGTTTGGGAGCTCAGCTTCCAAAGGCTCCCAGAATTTAGGCTTCTATGAAGACCCCACAGTGAAGGCCTCTGCCAATTTGAGGAATCTTGTGCTGTTTTCACAAATAAACCTGTTCTTCAGAGGTAACCAAGTTAACTGCTGTGGAAAAAAGCTCTCAAACTGCTTGAGTCTTTGTTTCATGCTTTTGTTATGTCTCATAACCTTTTGTTGGAAGAAGTGATTTAAGCCACCCATTATGGTGTGATGGAGGTTTCCTCTGGATTCTAATACTTTTAAAAGTTAATTACACTTGATTCACTTTGTATCCTGGCTGTAGCCCCCATGGATTCTAGTGTTTTGACTGACAAAGCTGCAGCTATTTTTACAGGAGGTCCTTTGTCTGACAGGTTAGTTTCCCCTTACTCCTTAGACCTTTGGCAGCTTGATGATTGTCTTGGTGTCTCTTTGGGCTTATCCGAGTTAGGGTGCTTAAGGTTGTTTTGTTTTGTTTGTAGAGACAGGATTTTACTATGTAGTCCAGGCTTCCCTCAAGCTCATTGTATACCAGGCTACCCCACTCTCCCAAATTCTGGGACTCTAGGCATAGGCATAGACCATCATGTTTAGCTATTTTGAGTTTCTTTACTTTGTTCATTTCCTTTTTCATACCCAGTAAATTTCAGCTACTAGTTGTAAATATATGCTCTAAGGCTCTGATTATTTCTAGAACTTTTCAATGAATATATTTTTCTTGTTTTTTTTTTTTCCCCTCCTCTTCCTCCTCGTGAGTAATGGGATTAAAGTTGTGTACCACTACTCTGTTAATGCTGTTTTTATTGATAGGTTCCCTTATGCTCACCCCCTTGCCCCCGTACCCTTTTATAGTCCCCTGACCCAGTTATGGTATTAACATTTAAAATTACATTTAGTTAATTAATATTATGTGTACATGTGTGCTGTGTGTGTGTGTGAGAGAGAGAGACTCTGTCTAGGTCAAGAGGACAGTTTTCAGGATTCAGTTCTATGTTTCTACCATGTAGTTCCCAGTGATTAAATCAGAAGGCCTCAGACTTGCTGTGTAGTTGATGTCTGGCTGAGTTTGCAGTCTTTCTCCTGCTATTTACGCAGTTGTGGAACCTTGTGAAATTTTCGATTCAGTCATTGTATTCTTTGTCTCCAGAGTCCTGTGACTCTGTTTTGTTGTTGTTCTGCTTCATTGTTTTGTATAGTTGATTATCTGAGTACATTGAACTTTATTAAAATGATCATTTTGGATTCTTGGTAAGATAATTCACTGGTCTCTGCTTCTTGAGGTTATTTTCTTTTAATTTAATGACGTTTCTTAAGATTTATTTTCTTCTTTAGATCCTCCATTCTTCAGAAGAACTTTCTCATTTTGTGAATTCCATAAAGTAGTTTCCTCTTTGAGCCACTTCAGACTTGATCTGAATAGGAAAGACTTTCAGCATATACCCTGCCCAAAGGTTCTTGGGGTTCCCTTTCCCAGTCAGGAGTTTGTATTCTTTCTCCCTCTTGTGTCTGTCTATGGTACTGCATGTTCTCTGTTGAAACTCGCTGTTGAATAGTCAGGCCTTTTTCCGCAGTGCCTAGGCACCCAAAGCACCTGGTTTTGTTGGTGCCAAGTTTTAGGTGAGGCAGAAACCTGCTCTGTATATCAGAAAGCTTGTATGTTAGATACATGCCCTTCTCTGCCTTGATTGAATCCCCCAAGAGTGAAGCTGCAGTTGGAATCTGTTTCCTGAGCCTGTTGAGAAAGGACTGTTGTGGTGTTAAAAAACAATTCCTCTTTTGTTTTTCAGTGGAGCTCTTTTTGAATTTTAGCTCGCCTGGAGTACTTGCTTTTGTAATGGGCTTTTGGAATTCTCTCAAGGAATTTTCTGGATTATGTACTGTTAAATCCATGGCTGCTGGGGCAGAGTGTAGGCTGTTCAGTCTCCTAGCTTCTTGATCTTACTTTCACTTTCACTTACTTGGTAAAAGCTTCTTTTTCATACATTTTGTACTTTTCTCAGTGTAGACAACAGAGGAGCCTTTTTTTTTTTTCTTTTCTTTTTTTCTGTCTTTTATCAACTATACTTCTTTTGGGAACTAAATACTCACGGTGCCAGTGTGAGAAGGAAAGAGCTGGAATTTCAGACAGTGTGAAGTGTCTTCTGTTCTGCCAGAAAAGGAGTGAGGAGAACGACAGTGGTTATGAGCGTTGCACTTTTAGCTCAAATTCTGCTTGCTCTCACTAATGGCATATGGACAGCTTCAATATTGTTTTGTCTGTAAGCTGAGGTTAGTCAAAGTTGTAGGACATGGGGCTGGTGAAGATAGCTCAGAAAGTAACACAAAGGCAGGCAGCCAGAGTTCAGTCCCTGGAAGGAAGAGTGCTGACACCCGAAAGATGTCTGTGTGTGTGCAAAAGTGAATGTACACTCACACAAAAGAATCAGAAAAGTCAGAACATATAATCTAAGGCTGTGATGGACATATACTTTTATTGTAATGTTGCTAGCAGTGTACTTGCTTTAAATTTACCTCTAGTATTCAGTATTTAACAAAGTCTAATCTGGTTAGAAAAGTAGTTTGGAATCTGTAAGTTGAAAATTTTACATATACATATTTTCATTATTGTATCTTGTGTGTATTACTGTGTTATGTATGGGCATTTCTCACGTGAGTATTCAGTATGCATCTTCCCTTGCATACCACCAGCTGAAAATATGTTAGTGGGTAAGGTGTAAGTAATCTCTTAGAATGTAAATCTCTTAGAAGGTGTATTTCCCCCCACTGAAGATACACAAATGACTTTAAGACAGAACTTGCCGGAGATAAGAGATTAGCGATTTAAATTACAGGAGAGTGCCTATATAAAACAAGGCAAGACAAACCACCCCTTCCCCCCAAAACAAACAAACAAACAAACAACTAGACCCTAAATATGAGGTATAAAACAATAAGTTATTAAAAATACACAATGTGGAAGTTGGGAAGGTGGCTTAATCAGTAAATTGCCATAAGGACCTGAATTCGGATCCCTAGCACCCATGTTATAAAGCTGAGTCTACATGTTTGTCATCCTGACAGAGACAGGCAGAGACAGAAGGATCTCTAGGGTTTGCTGACCAGCAGTCCAGCCAATTCAGTGACCTTCACTGAAGGATCATTGAGAGACCCTGTCTCATAAAACCAGGTGGAACACATTGAGAAAGACACTCAGCCTTGACCTCTGCCATCTCTGAATAATCATGCACCTGTGTGCACACAGATATACAGTGTGTAGTGACACAGTTGTTTTAAATAAAACAGAAAACTTTGTATATGATCATGTGTGTTTATAGATTGTCTTGGAGAAATTAGGTAAGGTAGCACTTTGCATTTGGATATATAGTTGAAGCTTCATTCAGTTTATTTAAAGTGCTGCAGTTTTAGGCCACATCTTAACCATAATGACATACCTGATAACAACTCAAGATTTGTAAATATGAAATGCCTATTTTAACTTTAGGATGTAATAAAAATGTTATATTTCGCTAATATTAAGGTATTTACTTACATTTCTTCTAAAACTTTACTCCTTTAGGTTGGATGGAGTACTTCTCGGGATTACTACACATTTTTGTGGTCTCCTATGCCTGAACATTATGTGGAAGGATCAACAGTCAACTGTGTACTGGCATTTCAAGGTAATAACTGAAAACTGAAGGGCTTGGTCAAGCTTAGCAGCCTCTGTTGTAGTTATCTGTTTCAAGCATATATAAATGAGTCTTGAGTAAAAGTCAGATGAATGTCAATACCAAATGTTGGGCACATGATATTTTCATAGCTACTCAGAACACTTTTCTTTTTAAGAAGGAAACTTGGAGTTTCTTTTTTTATTTTTTTTTTTAAACTTGGAGTTTCTTAAGAAAAAGTTTTGATACAGATTTAAGTGTAAGCATTAAGAAGGGAAGGGAGACAAGGGGACAGAAGTACATATCCACACACAAAAATTGAGGATTGATTGATGTCTAGGAAAAAAATATTGACCAGAGATGAAGTTGAAGTTATACTCATCCATTTGTATTTTCAAAAGACTCTTTCATTTATGCTGGTTTTTGGTTTGCCACTTGAGAAGGACATAAACTTAGGGTGCCCTTGTTTCAGGGATGTTACCTTCCTCTTTCTGGTTCCTTTGGAATTAACTGTTCATAGAAAACTATCCATGGTTTTAGCAAGTCCACTGTTGTGTTTACTAGCAGTACTTTAGGAGAAGGACTATGATTTTATTTTATGCACTAGGAAACAGCTACCAAGAGATTTTCATCATGGGTTCTTAGGCCAATGTTTATCTCTAGATAAGAGTAAAAAGTTTTATTGTGTTATTATTGTACTCTAGGGTAAGTGTAGATAGTGAATATGTACTATGTGTATAGAATAAAAGGATAGTGTCTTTTCTGTTGTTGTAATATGACATTGTAACCAAAACAACTTCAAGAAGAAAGATTTTATTGGGATTTACAGTGTCACAGAGAAATACCATGGCCATCATGGTGGGTAGTGTGGCAACAGACAGGCAGGCATGACAGTGCAGTAGTAGCTTGTAGAGACACCGATAAGGCAGAGAGAGCTAACTGGACCTTTTAGACTTTAAAGCATGCCCCCAGTGGCACACCTCCTTCAGTAAGGCCACATCTCCCAATCCTTCCCAAATGGCTCCACCAGCTGAAGACTGAGCATGCAAATACATGAGCCTATGGACGCCATGTTCCTAGACACTATAGACACATATGTATACACATATATGCAAACAAGGGGAGAGAGAGAGAATAGGAATGGATATGAATATCAGGATCTTGCTGTAGCCAGGACTAGCCATGGATTTGTAACCCTGCTCAGCCTCCTGAGTGCTGCTGGGATTTATAGGAATGTACCACCATGCTTGCCTAAGCTGGAACCCAGATAAAAATGCCACTGCAGGTGCATGCATCCCAAAACTTTTCAAGTTTGATGGGATGTGGATACAGGAGAATTTGTCAGAAGCTTGAGACTTGTCTCTAAAAAGCAAGTGGAAGAAGAGAACCAACTCAAAACATACATACATAAGTAGTTTTTTTTTTTTTTTTTCTCCACAAAGGATCATGTTTGTCGTATAAATAGGCAAGGCTTTGGGAGTGTAAGCTACTGGTGGTGTGTTTAGCGTGCACAAAGTTCTGGGTTCAATGCTCTGCACCTGCCATCAGCCAGAAACATAAGTTAATGTCTGCATTGTGTTTTTTAAATTTTTAGCTGATCAAATCTAAGCATGTGTTGGAGTTTATAACATTACAGTTTTTTTCTTAAAAGGTGTGGATTTATTTTTGTTTGTCTTTATTATGAAAGTTTTTTTTTTTTAATAAGTCAACTTACTGCATTTATTTTAGTGACTAATGCATTTATTAGTGACTTAGCAAGAATGCAAAATCATCCAGTTTGTCTATATCTGAAGACACTTTCCTGGGTGTTAAGCACAGAAGCAGTAGAGAAATTTGACAAATTCAGTAGTGTTTTTAGTTTGAATTTTATTTATGTCTGTGTTACTAATCACTGATGTTACATTACAGATTGGCTGATTTTTTTTATTGTTTTATTTTCTAGACAAATGCTCTTAAATTGTAGCACTGAATGATTACATTTAGTTGAAATAGTTATAAGCCATATTATTTTAGATAATTTTTTTAAATCATCATACCCTTAATGTCTATATTGTAGAGTTTTTTAAAGATTTTTTTTAATCATTTAAGAGTGTGTGTGTGTGTGTGTGTGTGTGTGTGTGTGTGTGTGTGTGTTTGGGGGGTGACATGTGGAGGTTGGAGAATAACTTACAGAATTGATTTGCTCCTAATAGGTGGGTATTGGGTATTGATTTCAGGTTACCAGGTTTGGTTGTCAGGCTTGGTGGATAGTACCTTTACGAACAGTACCACAAATAGTTTCTGGTTTGTCTTGTCGTTCTGTCTGTCTCTAAGGAGAAAAGCCACCCTATTTTTTAAAAGGTTCAAATCAGGTGAATGAAGTAGGTATTATAATAATGAATCTAAAAATTTAGGACATGAAAAATTAGTAGGTATAGGTTTTAGATTCTGGGGTACTTATTTTTGTATATACTCAGATCCTCCTTTCTTCTCTCTCATTCTCTCTTCTTCTTCTTCTTCTTCTTTTTTTTTTTTTTTTTTTTTTCTGAGACAGGGTTTCTCTGTTTAATGGCTCTGGCTGTCCTGTGCTTACTTTGTAAAACCAGACTGGTCTTGAACTCACTGAGATCTGACTGCTTCTGCCTCCCCAGTGCTGGGATCAAAGTCATGCCTGGCTTATGTTTTTTCTTTTCATAAGTTTCTTTGATTCTAGGATTCAATCATATACGTACTATATTCACTTACATATGCATTCCCCCCACCTCCGGGTGTTGTAGGTCTGTACCTGTCCTCAGTGTTTTGGAGGTCTAAGGTACAAAGCCTATAAAACTGAGCATGGTGGCACATGCATGTATTTTCTAGCTATGTGGTAGGCCAGTGCAGAGGGATTAAAGTATAAGACTGTCTCAACATTAACTTCTTTTTGAAGGGCTCAGATATAAAGCTCTGTGGTAAATCACTTGCTTAGCTCGAGTGAAGCCCTGAGTTCAATTTCCAGTACCATTGCCTCTCTACCGTTAAAGGCATGTGCATTGTGAGTTGTAATATAGAGCAGAGAATTGAAGGTTTTTAAGTAAAAAAAAAAAATTCTGTGTGGATATTTGAGGATTAACTTAAACTAGGACAATCCAGCAAAATTAAAAAGGGAGGGTGACATTGAAAATGAAACCAAATTTTGAACATAGTATTTTTCATATTGTAGCTAATGTTATAAATATATTATCTGTAGAGTCTAAGGAACTTAGATAGCTTCATTCATATGCTAAATAGAGCTCAGTAGTTCCAAAATCTTACTAATTTTTCTTGTGCTGCATCAATGGGCTTCATCTTTTTTTTTTTTTTTTTTTTTTTTTTTTTTGCTTTTACACAGTTCACATATGTAACATATTCCTGTAGTTACTATTTCTTTTTTTACATGAAGTGAATGTCAAATTGGAGGAGGCATTTCTTTAATTTGGTATTTCCCAGTCCCTATCCCTGTCCTTACATTTTTATTGGGTCTTCCCATCCATCCTCTTTCTCATTGTGGAGTACGAACTTATTTCTCCATGAGTTGATTTTGCCATATTTAAGCTGCCGGGGGAGAGACTGGAGAGATGGCTTAGTGGTTAAGAACACTTGCTGCTCTCACAGAGGACCCAGGGTTCATCCAGTATTCTTGTGGCAACTCGTAACCACCATGTAACTCCAGCCTCGGTTGATGTAATTCCTCCTAATGACCTCTGCAGGCATCACAAATTCAGGTGGTACATAGACATAGAAACAAAACCACTACATGTAAATAAAAAAATTAATTAAAAAAAAATAAGGGGGAATGGTTGTGTACATTTATGTATAAGAGGTAAAACTTTGGGGTATGTTTGAGAAGAGAGTATAGCGTGGACTGATAAATTTGTGAACAGTAGGAAAGACTTATTCTAGATGTGTTCAGAATAATATATGGAAGGTGAAAAGTATTGTTAAATAAATTAGCATTTTATAATAGCAACTTTAATCACTTTTATTACCCACTTGTAGGATATTACCTTCCAAACGATGACGGAGAATTTTATCAGTTCTGTTACGTCACTCATAAGGGTGAAATTCGTGGAGCAAGTACTCCTTTCCAGTTTCGAGCTGCTTCTCCGGTTGAAGAACTGCTCACTATGGAAGATGAAGGAAATTCTGATATGTTGGTGGTGACCACAAAAACTGGCCTTCTTGAGGTGAGCATCTACAGTGAGGCGTAGAGATCGCCTTGACTGGCATTGTGAGAATTTTTGGGTTATGCCAAGAGCAGCTACCAGAACAAAATGTTTTAAAACTAAAATTACAAGTGAATGTATCTGTAAAGGCCGGAAATCAATGTTGATTGCTTCCTCAGTCACTTTCAATCTTACTTTTTCAGAGAGGATTTCTCATTGAACCTGTAGTTTGCCACTTGGCCTAGATTAGCTGGTGAGACTAGTCTTTGATCTTAGTTATTTAGTGGTTCTCTTGTGGTAGGCATTGTCACATGAGTGCCAGGAAGATGCTTGATTCAGGGCCTAAAAGTGTCCTATGCACAGTTACCTCCAGTGGAAGCACTCAGATCTGGGCTAGTCTTCTGTTCCTCACCCCGAGCTTTTCTTTTTTCAGGTGACCAAATTCATTTGATTGATGAATTGTGCAGATTTAGGGTAAAGCTGGCTGGGAAAGTGCAATGAAGCAGTGCATCCAAATATAATTCAGTTTTTGAAACTGAGGATTGTGGGTTCATTGGTCTGATGATGGCATATGTTTTAGTTTTTTAGTAATTATGAAATGAGAAAAACTTGTTTTAAGATCACATTTTCTAGTTTATATCTGAAAGCTAGATTACTGTTTGAAATGATGTGATTAAATTGTACTTAGTTATTATAAAAGTAGCATTTGGATTGGTTCACTTTAATTTTTTTGTTATTTACATCTTTGTTTCAAATATTGGAAGTGATTGTTTTTTCTTTATAGACTCGTGGAGCTTTAAAAGCAGATGTTTTATGTTTTTGATTTTTCTTTGTCTACCTTTCAGAACTGAGACTAGGAAAGGAAAGAATGTGAGGTTGCCATGTCTTCTGCTGCCAGGCTGTCCTAAGACAGTCTATGCAGGAGTGAGAAAGAACATGAATTTTCTTTCTTTTCCCAGAAATTCCTTTCTTATCTTAAATAAGAAATGTAGCTTTTATAGGGTGGCTGAAACATTTTGTAGTGACAACTGCCTCTGATCAGGGTTTTTAGCCTGGTATTTGAATGTTACTCAGAGATACTGAAATAAGCCCTGCTCCTGGGAATGGAGTAAGCATTGACGTGTGTTTTTTGAGTACTTGTCAGACCACCCTTATCTTAAGTGTCCTGCACATGATTGACATTTTGCTACCCACATCTCTGGAGACTTTTGTCTAATTGGGACACAGCCCAGGTTACTTGCACTTTTTCTTGTCTCTACAAATGTGTACTATAAAGAAAAACTTAATTGCTGTCTCTTGGGAAATTTTTTGAGATAAAAATGGTTTTGTTTTCTGACAAGTTCTCTTAGAATTCTACATTCATTGATGTCTTTAATCACAGTAAAAGCGATTAATGAGAAATAGTCTAAGAACCTGTGAGCCTGGAGTAGATAATAGAATAAAAAAATAAAAAGGCATTTTAGGGATAATAAGGGATGTTTGACCAAAGGCTATCTGTTGAATGATAACAATTATTCTGACTCTTAGTTAAGATCACAAGAGTGGTTTAAAAGGAGGCTGCACTTACTTACTTACTTACTTACTTACTTACTTACTTACTGTGCTTGCTCTGAGGCACTTAGGGTTAGTGTCCATAATTTTATTTTGAATGGTTTAGCAAAATAAAGCAAAATAAACTGATAAATATAATATAAGCCAGATGTGGTGGTACACATCTGTAATCCCTGCATTTGGGAAGCAAAAGCAGGAGGCAGAATTTCAGGCCTGCATGGGCTATGATACAGGACCCTGTTTTGTTCCCCACCCCCAAAAGAATAAAATGGGAAATGAATTTGACAGCACATTGATGATTAGTGAATTGAGTATATTTGTTCTTAAAAGATTTCAAAATAGAAATTTGGGAGCAGTAAATAGATTTTTTATTTCCCACCCAAGTACTAACCAGACCCGACCCTGCTTAGCTTTCAGGATCAGAAGAGATCTGGCACATTCATGGTGGTTTGGTCAGTGACAATTTGTATATTTAAAAGGAAAAACAAAAAACCAAACTGTGTTGGGGTTAAAGTTAGGACCTTGACAAATGCTAGGCAAATACTGTTTGTTGAATTTTATCTTCAGACTTAGATTTATGTAAGTTTTAATTACATTTAAATTCTTTAAAACTTGTCTGCTAAGCTTTAGTAAATCCTTCCTGAAGTGTTGTAAATTAATTGCTGAAAAAATTTTATTTGATATTTTTTCTATTATATTAGTTGAAAATTGAGCATTAGTTCTAATCTGCTAGAAAGTTTTGAGCTGGATTTAATAATAAGTTAATACTGTATTAACCTGTAGGGTTGAGGATTGATGTGCTTGCTTGATCTTCATTTTCCATTGGCTTATTGGATATCATTTATTATAGTTAATTTTTAATAGGTATAAACTTTTACCTTTTTACTTATTCTTTGAAAGTTTCATATATTTATGTAATAATTTTGCTAATCTACACCCACCACTATTTTTCCTCCAGTTCTCCTTAGCATCCTTCCTCATTGGCTTTTCCATTTTGAAAGCATTTATTTTATGCATTTTGACATGGTATGTTGGTACAAATAGAGTATTCTAAAAGATTTTAGCAGGTGAGCTTTCATAAGTTATTTTAGGTTTTAGTCACTTATCTGTGGTTCTGTGACCCTGGAAAGCTTAATATGAGGTATATTAGTTATATTTGTTCTTAAAAGATTCAACACACTTATTAGTCAAATACCTTATTTATGAATTATTCCGTGAGTCTTTATTTTTCTCTGGTTAGAAGCAAAGACTTCTTCCTATAAATACTAAAAATTTTATGTATGACCATGTTTGGTCCTTGATTTAGGTTTGGTTTTGTGTTTTCCTGCTGGAATTTCTATTTTCCTGAACTGAATAATTATCAGAATTCCCATAAGAACCAGATGCAGTTAGTATATTATTGTAGTCTTTAAATTTGTATTTTACGATTAAAACAATTGTGTGAGGTCTCTGCAAACACCAGGGGCAGCAGAGTAACAATCCGTGTGAGGCAAGAAGGAAATCCGGTTCAGCCGGACTCAGTAGTTGGTGTTCTGAGTCTGACTTTGAGCAGTTTATTTTAAGCGTATTTAAAGACGGTACAATTTTGGAAAGAAATTTCCTAGTAACAGTGATCTCAATTCTGTATTCACACTAAAGCCTAAGGTGTGGCTACATTGAAACCCTTTTTGCAAAATACACGTGACCTCTTCTGTAAAGATGGATTCTATAGCTTAAGGACCATGGGATGAGCTGGTGTAGTCATAGAGATAGCCTCGTGGCTAAAAAGTACACGTGACATCTCCCCTAAGGATGGGGGCTGTTGATTGAGAAACAGTGCTCAAGATAAAGGTCTTGGGAGGAGGAGTCTGGGGTGAATGTAATAGTCTGGGGGATTCAAATGTGGTCAGGCCCTGCAGAAAGCACAGAGGTCACCAGGCTATTAACTACATCCATTCCCGGCCTTCTGGGCAGAAAACAGGTACACATCCCTTAGTTAAAGAGGCAACCCTACTTTAACATTCCAGGTTTCCCTGGTGCTTATCTGGGCATAAGTACTTAGTGCCTGTTGTACAGTTGGCTATATCTTGCACACACATTGTGAATTTTTTAACAGAAGGATAATAGGCTGAATGATAACGCACTAGGTAAAGTGTAAAAATTTGTAAATTCACTTTTTAAAAGTAGGAAACTATTATTGTAATATTTTATGATAAATATCAATTTGAGTTTTTTTTTAAACAGCTGAAAATTGAGAAGACCCTGAAAGAAAAAGAGGAATTGTTAAAGATGATAGCTGTTCTTGAAAAAGAAACAGCACAACTGAGAGAACAAGTTGGAAGAATGGAGAGAGAACTGAACCACGAGAAAGGACTGTGTGAGCAGCTGCAGGCTGAGCAGAAGGTTTGTTATACCTTTCCAAAATGGAAGCAGTTGGGATGACTGAAAATCAGGTCTTGAGGAAAGTAGCGTGTGTCTGTGCAGGTGTGCATACGAGTCGTAATATAATTATTTATATATGCATTTTATTTCTTATGTATATGGCTATTTTGGCTTCATGTATATCTTTGTGTAACATTTGCATGCCTGGTGCCCTTGGAGGTCAGAATTGGGGGTTGAGTCCTCTGGATGCTAGGAATAAATCTTAGGTCTTCTGCAAGAGCAGCAAGTGCTTTTACCCACAGAACCATCTCTCTAGCCCTAAGAATGTCAGTTCCTGTTAATCTTGAAATGGTAAGAATTCAAAGCCAGATGTAGTGGTACATACCTGTAATCCTGGCACCCAAGAGATACAACAAAAGATATAATGAGACCCTTTTTAAGGCTAGGCAGTGGTGGTGCTTGCCTTTAATCCCAGCACTCAGGAGGCAGAGACAGGTGGTTCTCTTGAGTTGGATCGCCCCTGGTCTATGGAGTGAGTTTTGGGACAGTAATGGCTACACTGTCTTAAAACCAAACCAACCAACCAACCAACAACAAAACCCTTATTTTTGAATTTATTTAAGACAGGGTCTCTTCATAGTCTTGGTGGTGCTGGGACTCAATGTGTAGACTAGTGTCACAGAGATATTCTACCTCTGCCCCTGGGCGCTGTGATCAAAGGTGTGCACGGTGACATTCAGTCTGCCTTTTTAAAGGAAGGATTTCTGAAGTCTACACAATTCTGCTTTACTGAAAAATGCTTTATTGTCGTTTTTAAGAGCCTTCTTGAAGTAACACAGAGTTTGAGAATGGAAAATGAAGAGTTTATGAAGAGATACAGTGATGCTGCATCTAAAGCTCAACAACTTGAAGAAGACATTGTGTCAGTAACACATAAAGCAATTGAAAAGGAAACTGAGCTAGACAGGTACCTCTGCTTTAAAGACATGACTTCAGTTATTAACAAGGTTCCTTATGGCTTTTATTAATGTTTTTCATCTTAACACAACGCAGTTTGAAGGATAAACTCAGGAAGGCACAGCATGAAAGAGAACAACTTGAATGTCAGCTGAAGACAGAAAAGGATGAGAAGGAACTTTATAAGGTAAAGAAGTTACTATTCGTGTTCCTGTACTTTTCTTACTCCCAATGGGTTTTTTGAGAGCAGTTCAGCTGAGCTCTTGGTCATTTGTCTCATTACAGTCAGGAGGATGATAGACTGTAGTCTGCTAAGGGCTTCAATGGGGTTTGGGGAGTGTGCTTTTTTTGTTATGATGCTCTTATAGGGAGATCCTCATGGCTTTTGGAAGGAGGTCCTTTAGCTATCTCTAGAAGGTCTCTTGAGTATTTCATAAATGGCAGTTGACTCCAGAGTGAGCAGTCCAACATGGGAAGGAGACAGAGGAAAACACAACCATAATGCATACTCCCTCAAAGCTGCTATTTAGGAAATTTGCTGGTGTTTTAGATATGTAGAGGTGTTGTATAATAACAGAGTTTAATGATAACAAGATAATTATTAGAATTCACGTATTTTCACCTTTTAAGATACATTTCTTCAGAGATGATAGTATTTAAATTTTTTACATTTATTTAATGTGTGTATACATGTATGTATATGCTTGTGTACGTGAGTGTGGGCATGCAGAAGTCATGGTATGTATGGAGGTCAGAGAACAACTTTGAGGGTTCCGTTCTCTCTGCCATATCAGGTCTGGGAAGTGAGCATGGCTGTCAGGCTTGGTCACAAGTTCCTTAACCTCTTTGCCAGGACCCTGATCGTCTTTCATATTGACTTTTAAAATACTAAGTATCTAAGAAATATTTCCTATAGAAACTTCTAAATGAGCGGCTGGGAAGATGGGTAAATGAGTAAGGCACTGGCACGCAAGTGTGAGAACCTGAGTTCAGATTCTGAGTGTCCATATAAAGCTGGACACACAGGCATGTGACTGTAACCCCAGTGTACTGTGATGGCGTGGAGGGTGGAGATAGAGAATCTCTGGAGGCTTGCGGACCAGCTAGTTTGATGGTATACAGTGGCAGACAGGAGACCCTATCCAGAGATGATGGAAGATGACCAACATCTGACAATGTCCTCTGACCTTCACACTGCCCATAGCATGTATGTTCTGTGCCACTGACATACACACTCAAAATCATGGATACACATACATATACAAAGGTGTTTTAAAAAAGTTTGCAATGAACATTCTAAGTTGTCAAGTCACTTTTATGAGCTGATAGTTATGAACATTAGGCAGTGTTTTAGAAATGATGCTGCAGAGGTTTAGGCTGCTGACAGTTCCAGAGAACCAGAGATACATTTCATCCCTAGGAACAGAAATTTCTGTAGATCTGAAGAGTGAACTGCAAAAAAGCAATTAATTTCTGTCTAGTACATAAAAAGGATTGTGTATGTATGCACATGTGCATATTTATAGGCATGCATGGTGGGACTATATGATGTGGGGGGGGGTTGGGAGGTCTGTCACAGTTGGCTTATCGAAGTCAGAGGGCAACTTTGGTCACATGGAAAATAGACAGCACAGTACTTTCACAAGCAAAACGTGGAATTGGGCTGGAGATGGCCCAGTGGCTTAAAGGCCGTCTACTGAGGCCTGGAGTGTAGTTCCTAGCACTCACATTAGGTGGCTTACCCACCCGTGACTGTCATACCTCTGGCCTTGCTAGGCACCTAACATTTGCATGCACATACTCACAGACCTACATATATAGACATCATTAAAAGAAAGATAAGGGTTTTTTTTTTTTCGTGTAATTGAGATGTTTTGAATGTAGCCCTCTAGTTTTCAGAATTTTTCACACTCTAACTTTTGAATATGCCATTTAGCATGATGTTTAGCATATTTAGCATGATGTTTCTCCCTCCTAAACACCCAAGTGTGTACATTTAGAATAGAAAATAAATGGTTAAGCTGACAGAAAAATCTTCAGAGATCAGGTAGTACAGTTAGACATTAGAATGACTTGCTGTGGGAAACAAAACCTTCTGAAAGCTGTGTTCTGCCCCTGTATGTCTGCATAGCCATTTTGCAGAACTTGGGTCTCCTGACCTCTGGTTCCTCCGTTGGCATTTTTGGATAATAAAATAATAATAATATTTTAATTAATGTATTTTATTTTATCTTATTTTATACTCACTGGTATTTTGCCTGCATATATATCCGTGTGAGGGTGGCAGGGGTCCTGGAACTGTAGTTACAGACTTATTTTGAACCATGTGGTTCTGGGAATTGAACCTGGGACCTCTGCGAGAACAGTCAGTGCTCATAACTGCTGACTCATCTCTCCACTCCTCTGCAGTTTAAAATAATGGTATTTTAAACTTTGGCTAACTTGGGTTATGATGCTAGCAAGACTATTCTTGTTGATTTCAAACACTGTTGTTGCAGGTACATTTGAAGAACACAGAAATAGAGAATACCAAGCTTGTGTCAGAGATACAGACTTTAAAGAATTTAGATGGAAACAAAGAAAGCATGATTACTCATTTCAAAGAAGAGATTGGCAAACTGCAGTTGTGTTTGACTGAAAAGGAAAATTTACATAGGGCTCTCCTGCTTACAAGCCCAAATAAAGTAAGTACTAATAGAAAAATCAGGTATGGAAGCAGATGCTGAAGCTCACAGTCAAACTTTGGGCAGAATGTAGGGACTCTTATCAAAGAAGGGGGAGATAGAAAGACCTGGAGGGGACAGGAGCTCCACAAGGAGAGCAACAGAACCCAAAAATCTGGGTTCAAGGGTCTTTTGTAAGACTGATAATCTAACCAAGGAGGACCATGCATGGAGATAACCTAGAACCCATGCACACATGTAGCCCATGGCAGGTCAGTGTCCAAGTGGGTTCCCTACTAAGGGGAACAGGGAATGTCTCTGATAAGAACTCAGTGGCTGGCTCTTTGAGCACTTCCCCCTGAGAGGGGAGCGAGCAGCCTTACCAGGCCACAGAGGAAGACATGAAGTCCGCCCTGATGAGACCTGATATGCTAGGGTCAAAGGGAATGGGAGGAGGACCTCCCTTATCGGGACTTGGGGAGGGGCAAGGGAGGAGCCTACAGCTGGGATACAAAGTGAATAAATTGTAATAAGTAAAAAAAAAGAAAAAAGAAAGAAAAATGTGTTTGAGGATTGTGAACGTTGCCTAGTATGATTGTTTGTACTCGTTTTAAGTTCTTCCCAGCTATTTCTCCTTTTTTTTTAAAATCCTTTCTCTGTTTAGTAAGATTATTTTCATATTATTATATGCCTGTGGATGATGCATGTGAACACCTGCAGAGGTCAGAAGAAGCGGTTGGATCCTCTGGCTTTGAGGTCACGATGCTTTGGGGAGAGTAATAACACTCTTAACGTGGAGCCGCCTCTACCATTTCTTTTGAAAAAGTTTAAAATCACAACAAAGTTACAGAACTCCTCTTGCTTGAGTGCTGGGATTGTAGGTGCCACTACCTACCTGGGCTCTTGTGTTAGGTAGCATGCTGTATCTGCTCTAGCGCTGTACAGAGCTCGTTCTCATCTTTTCAAGTGTCTACATAGTCTTGCATGAATGCATTTAAGTTATTTTATTACTTAGCTTTTATGGATGAATGTTAGGTTGTTTGAGCGTGTTGTGAATTATGTTGGAGACATAGGTAATGCAATTTGAAAAATGTTAGAAGTACATGACATTTAAATTCCTGATTAAGTTGCTTTTTTAATCTAAAAGATTGCAAATGTGACAAGTATATTAGATTGTATTTGATTTAGTAAGATGCTAAAATATCTTTAAGCATGTTTTTAGCATTTAAGCAAGACTTCAGTGAAAAACGTAGTTTTTTAAGCACTGAGGAAAATGATTACTGATTATAAAATGTTTTAGTATTTTGTAATGCAATGTGAATTTATGGTTATAAAATAATTTAAATAGTAATGAGGGAACAAACTAAAAGTTAGCATCCTTTTTTTGCTGTATGATTGTAGGATTTTAAAGAGTTACATGAATTATACATGTATATTTACATCTGAAACCAAATGAGAACATGTGTGTCTAGTTTACCAGAACTTTTTATTTTCTTTTGTGACAGATTCTCATTATGTAACCCTAGTTGGCCTGGAACTTGATATGTAGGTCAGGCTAGCTTCAAACTTAGAGATTGGCTTGCTTCTACCTTCGGAATACTGGGATTAAAGATGCTTGGGGCCCCTCGCCCAGCAGTAGCTACACAGTATTCTTTCCTATCATTCATTGTGTAGTTCACTGTCTTCAGCTCTTTGGAAGGTGCTGCAGTCCATATTCTTGTATAGCTAAACAGTAGGCACATGATTAAGTCCATAGAATAAATTCCTTCAGATGCAGTTGGTAGGCTAAAGGGCATTTAACTTTTGGTGAGTTATTTTCAAATTGCATTTTCAAAAAATACTGTATTTAAAGTTTTCTCCCAGTGATGTAACTAATGTATGCTCCTATTTATAGTGGCTTCATGGCGTTTCATTTAGTATGGTATGACACAGTTCAAAACACTTTCATTTTAGACTCTTTAAAATCTTCACAATTTCATTTTTTTAAAAAAAATACTGAATTCTGAAAGACAAAACTTTGTCTCCATCATTTATAATTTTCTTGAATACTTTTTGAAGATGAAATTGCTTATAAGGTGTTTGTGAGTCTTGTAAGTTGGCTAAGAGGCCCCAGTTAGGGTTAGTGCAATTGTGAATGTGCCTGTTTCCTCTGAATTTGTCTAAATAATAGATAACTATTTTATCTTGGTCAGTTAAAAGAAAACATTTGACTTTGTTGATTTGAAACTTCTGTGTATAGTAACGTTTCTTTTTTAAAAAATTAACCTTGCTGTATGTGGTGGCGGTACATGCTTTTAATCCCAGTGTCAGGAGGCCGAGGCAAGTGGAGCTTTGTGACTTCAGGTCTGCTTAGTGAGGTCCAGGACAGCCAGGCCTATGTAGAGTAACTGTCTCTGAACAGACAAACAAAAATAATACTAAACAAATAAAACCACTCTTCATATGTTTGGCTGTATGGGGTATATGTACTCCCTTGTTATTGGTTGGAAAAATAGATCACAGTAGTGTTAAGGTTTCCTTAAATATATTAAAAGACATTTTCCTTTAGCTATTTTTTTCCTTTCTGACATAGAAGCTGATGTGTGATTAAAAGTATTAGGAGTCCAGATTCGGCTCGGTGGTAGAGCACTTGAGCAACATGTGGAGCACCATCTGTGCAGTCAGCAGCACTGCATGGCAGTGCACACCTGAAAACCCTGCAGTTAGGAGGTAGAGGCAGGAGGATCACAAGTTTAAGACTATCCTCTGCTACATTGCAACCCCAGGCTAACCTGAACTATGTGAAATCCTGTTCCAAAAACCAAAACACAAGGATACCTAGTATGGTTAGGCTTCTGAAGATTTTGTACACACCAGCATTATATGGTCATTTACTTGTTTTCCTGTGGATCTAACACATTCAAAACTAAGATTGAATTGCGTTTTACTTTATTTGACATCATTTTTAGCAGACTAAAAATAGAGGACTGTTAGATCATTATACTTTCCTTTAAAATGCTGTATGTCTCTTCCATGCTTTCCTAAAGAGATGGTGGTAGCTAAATTATTAGCCATCTTTTAGGTTTGAAAAAAAGGAAACATCTTTTAACTGATGCTTTTGGTATTACAAAGAAGTCTTTGAAGTTATTTTGAATCCAGTGAAAAATGAGAGTACTGGCTGGAGATACAGGAGTTAAAAGAGTGGGGTAGGGCACTCACATACATTTGGTCTCATCAGCTTTCATTTGTGTTTTAGTTCAGTCAGAACTTCGATCACTGGGTGTGTTAACTGACTTTCTGTCATAGATAAAGTGGCCACAGTGAACACAGCTTAGGGCTGTTATATGAGAATTCTACTCATGAGTAGAAAAACATTATTTAACTTATAATTCTGGAACAGTTAAATTTTAAAAGATTAATGTTTTAATTGCAACTCTATATTATCTGCCTTCCTTCAGGAAGATACATTATTTCTAAAGGAACGGCTTCGTAAAGCAGAGGAACAAGTTCAGGCAACCCGTCAAGAAGTTATCTTTCTGGCTAAAGAGCTCAGTGATGCTGTGAATGTGCGAGATAAAACTATGGCAGATCTCCATACTGCACGTTTAGAAAATGAGAGAGTGAGAAAGCAGCTGACTGACGCACTGGCAGAGCTTCAGTTAAATGCTGTGAAAAAAGATCAGGTAAAGCAAATTAATTTTGTATCTGTTGATCCCCCAAACACTATAAGCTCCGTAGAAGAGAGGAGTTGAAAAGGAAAGGAAAGGTCTACAGCATAATAGCTCTTACTGTTAGTAAAAGCTGTCCTAGTGCATGTTTTTATGTCAGATGTAGATTGCTTCATGTGGAATTTCTGTTTACTAACTATGTAGAGTGGCAATATGGTTACTTAAGGGTATCACATGAGTTATATAATTGCTTCTCAAGAGTTGGATGGTTTTTCCTCAGCTTTTAAGTAAACCTTACATTTAAAATATAAAGCCCATACTCCAAAATAAATATAAATTAAAAGCCAGGGGAGAAAAATCATTGAAATGGAGTTAGGACTTATTACTATTTATGAACTATCAGTATTTTTTCTTAGTGGAAGTGTTTTTCTCTAAGGAAAAGAGTGATACACTGGAACATGAACTGAGAAGAGAAGTTGAAGATCTGAAACTCCGTCTCCAGATGGCTGCAGATCATTACAAAGAAAAGTTCAAGGAATGCCAGAGGCTCCAAAAACAAATAAACAAGCTTTCAGACCAGTCAGTAAGTGCCTCTGAATTCCTGTGAACTGAAATTTTCCCTTGTCAGACTTTTTTTTGTAAACAAAATGTTTAATATTATAAATATTAGCCTTTTGAATGTAAATTATCACATCTTTTTCTAAACACAAATCATATTTTTATTACATTTATTTGTGTATGTTGTGTGGTGGTAGTAGGTCACTGTAGGTAGGTTAGTTGAAGGTCAGAGGACAACTTGCAGGAGTTGGTATTCACTGGTTATACCCTCTGGGTTTCAGGGATAGAGAATGGCATGTCAAGTTTGATGTCAAGTGCTTTTACATACTGAGCCATTCTGCTGGCCTGAGTTTGTCACTTCTTGATTTCAAATCATTGGCCTAATACTGTAGTGGCAATCTTTTTTCTTTTAAATCTGAGATTTTTATTTATTGAGATCCAATAAGGGAAGCTGGGTCAGCAGCAAAAGCAGACAGTAGCAAGCACTCTTGTTTTTAGGCCATTGCTCTCTTAAGCCATTGGTAAGTATCCTTGTCAGTTAAACTTAGTTTGTAGTATTAAATGTTACTTGTGGCAAAGTTGACTGCTCAATGTTTTCTCAGTTGTCTCTTCCATCGTGCTCAGACCACATTAGGAAGAGGTAAAATATGTTAGCTTCTTCTTTTATATTTGATACAAGAGTAGGTAGGTAGATTCATAACAAAGGCATTTTATTTGAATGGGTTTATGTAATGATATAAAGCCCCAAATTGTACTGAGATATAAGACTTTTTATATGAGGGAATCTTGGAAGTAAAGTATTAAAACAAACAAACAAAAAAACATTCTAAATGCGGGATTGAGTGGTACCACAGTCACAGTATGTAGACTCTTCTGTGCTTTAGGTTCTCAGGGACAAAAAGGAGCAAGGGTTTTGTGAAGAAACATTGTGATTCACATGTAGATTTTTGTTTGTGGGTTTTTGAGCACATATTTTAAAATTTCTAATTAGATTTATTCATTTTATTTGTGTATTTTACCTGCATGTATCTGTGTCCCACAGATGTGTTTGGTGCTTGTAGAGGTCAGAAGAAGTTATTGGATCCCCTAGAATTGTAGTTACAGGTGGTTGTAAACCACCGTGTGGGTGCTAGGAATCAAACCTAGGTCCTCTGCATTAAAAGCAGCAGCTGCTGTTAGTGTCTCTCCAGGCCCAATGAGCACATGTTGGCTTGTGAGATTGTGAGATGTCTATGAATGGAGCAAGAAACAGAATTACTTTTCTTTTGCAACCTTTCCATCAGTTAGGAAAATGATGTAGCTTTATTTCTCTCAGGATTTCAGAGTGAATAGTTTTGAAAACTTTTTGATTATTTACATGTTTAGTAAAGGAAACCAATATGACTCATAGTAATTTACTGTTAACATTTGGGATAGGCCAGTACTAGTAGTGCCTTCACAAAGAGAATTGGGACTCAAAAAGTGAATGATGCCTCAATGAACACAGACCCGGCCGCTTCTGCTTCTGCCGTGGATATGAAGTCAGCAGTCTCTTCTGCAGGTAAAAATCTACTTCTGTGTAGCTGTGTACACTGATTTGATACTGTCTACTTCCATGTGTGAGAATTTCAGGCTGCTTTCATAAATTCTTGTGAGTGAGAGAATTGAGAGGCAAAGGGGGGGACATGAGGGTATTAACATGAGACTGAAAGCTATGTATGTGGTGTCTATGCAAAGTGAGTTTGTAAACTAATACTTCAGGAGAATATTCACATGTTAAAAATTGAATTGGTGCTAGAAGTACTAATTTGAACCATATGGAACAGTAAAATGGAAGAATTCCCTACACTCAGAATTATGTTATAAATATGATTATAAATAGACCCAAGAAGGTACTTAGAGCAGAGTGACAAAGGACAGACAGTGTGGAAAAAGTGATGGAGTTAAAAAAATCCAGGTTTTGGAACACAGTAACATTTCAAACTGGAGGTTATCATGTACTTTGAGTAGTTATTTTACCTTAATTATTTTGTAGCATTTAAAAATTTTAGAAATAATTCTGTATGGGAAAAATACCCATTCTTCTAAATCCTTTCTTTTCCCTACTGCTTTGTATCATTAGAATACATCTTTCATTTGTGTTAGTTAGTACATCTATTTCATAAATGGATGTTGATGATAAACAGATTCAGGTATACCAAATGAGTAATGTAATTTGAATTAACTTTGAATTTTTCATTTGTGCTTTTTTTCCCTTTCTATGTAAATCAAATATTTGACAATAAGGAAAATAAGTGCCAACCAACATATAGTTCCATTTTTAGTGTGTGGTATAACTGATGATTTAGTTTTTGAAGTAAGATTTTTTTTAGACATTTATTCATTCATTCATTCATTCATTCATTTTTTGAGACGGGTTTTCTATCTAACAGCCCTGGCTGTTCTAGGACTTGAGGCTGGCCTCAAATTCACGAAGATCTGCTTGCCTCTGCCTCTCCTGAGATTAAAGGCATGCACCACCTTGCCAGGTGACGATTCAATATTTAATTAAGGACAATCCTGTATGACATATTCACCTTCCATTTATTTTTTCTCTGTTCAGGTTGACTCTTCTTCCTTTGAAATGAAATTTCAAAGTATTTCTTCCTTAGGAAAAGAAATACTTTCAGATTCAAGAGTTTTTCTACAAATTGGAATGTTTGTTTAAACAGTTCATTGTTCCTATTGAAAATTAAAAACCTGAAACACCTAATATCCGAAACTATTCTAGTGTCGTCATCTTGGCACTCAAAAAGCTTGAGAATTTGGGACATTGCTTTTTGTTTAGAATTTGAATCCTGGATTTTAGGATAATGATATTAAAGGTGTAGTACCTACTGTGACACTATATAGCATTGGCTTTTTGAAGACTCAGTGAAGGGTAACAAAGGGTGGAAAAATAGGCTGGTCTCAGGAAAATGGTTTTCTGGCTGTCTACCCAGTTACGTAGTAAGATGGCGGCTTTTATGCTGCCTTGGAAATACTATCAGCAACCTTTTTTTTTTTCCTTCAAAGATTTCTTATTGAATGTAATTTTTTTTTCTGGTCAAAAATAACATTTAAAAATTCTTATTAGTGTTTAGGTGTGGTGATGCAAGCATGCCTATAACCTAGCACCCAGGAAGTGGAGATAGTAGGCATCACTTGAAAGCTGCCCTGAGCTATATAGGAAGACTGTCTCAAAAACCAATACACACGTGCACACACACAGACACATATATATACATACACATGGGAGAGAACAACAAGCAGATCTCACATAGTGTTCATTTTTGTATTGGGTTGAACTTTACATGCTAAACGCTCTACACTGCTCTGAATCCTCAAACCATCCCCTTTTGGCTTATTTATTTATTGAGCTAGGATGATACCAAGTTGCTCAGCTGGCCCTTGAGCGCTCTGTGTCCCTTCAACTTGTGATGTTCTCTGTCCTATTTTTTTTTTTTTTGAATAGTGGGATTGTAGTACAGTGTGCTCCTGGTAACACTTCAGGTACATTTTCTCAAGTTTTCTACAAAAAGATAAAAGAAAAATTGACCGTTTTGTGTTTTGAGACATCTCTCACTTTTGTAGCTCTGGCTGGCATGGATTTGGAGATGTAGACCAGGCTGACCTTGGACAGAGTACTTAAAAGTTTTTTAAACTAATTAATTTTTGGCCGGGCAAGGGTGGCATATACCTTTAATTCCAGCACTCTGGATACAGAGGCAGGTGGATCTCTGTGATCTTGAGACCGGCTTGGTCTACAGAGGGAGTTCCAGGACAGCCAGGGCTACACAGAGAAACCCTGTCTCAATAAACAAACAAAAACAATAACAAAATAATAATTTATTTTAATAATATATGGGTGTTTTGCCTGCATGTTTGCCTATGCATCACCTGCATACATGCATAGCACCTGTGGAGGCCAGAAAAGGGTGTCAGATCCCATGGGACTGGAATTACAGACTCTTTTGAACTGCCATGTGGGCGCTGACAGCAGAACCCAGGTCCATCTCTCCAGCATCCAGAGAGTAAATATTATTTTAAATATCATTTTTAATTAATATTACTTCTTCTGTTTTTGTTACAACAGAGACAGATTTTGACATGTCAACAAAGGATTATGTCTGTGAAATGACCAAAGAAATTGCTGAGAAAACAGAAAAGTATAATAAATGTAAACAACTATTACAGGTAAGTTAGCTCCTTTTTCAGTGAAAGATTTATCAAATATTAATACCATGCCTTGGTTGGTTTTTTTTTGTTGTTGTTGTTGATGTGTAGAGGGTTTCTTTTCCTATTCTTTTGTTATGATACTGCATTTGGGATGATGAAAGGGGTGTTTCGTGTACTTGTACATGTAGGCCTTTTTGTAAAATCATGGTTAAAGTCAGTATTTACCATATACATGATAAAGTGTTCTTGCCTGAATGAGTTTTTATTTTAAAATAGGAATATTTTATTTAGAATAGAGAGTAAAGTTATTTCGTATTTGTATATATGGCTTTTAAGGTTTTGTTTGTGTGTGTGTTTCTTTTTTGCACTGGGAAAGGGAGGTAACTTTTTTAGAACGGAAGGAAATTCATAGATATGCTCAATGTTACTATAGGATACTTTTGCTTCTTGATTTAAAGGTAATGATTAAAGTGTTTTGGTCAGATTTAAACTTGACTTTTTGAGATCTTTCTATAGAACTTATGAGGACGGTGCTGTTCTAGTGTGGTTCAGTGCTTGTGTTTTTCTTGCTGCTGGTGTAAAGAAGCTAAGTGCAGGGCCAGGCTTAGGACAGGGTAGTAGACATGATTAACAGTGTGTAATACTTACGACTCTTCCTAGGCTGTGTATTATAGAAAAGTGATAGGGTTTTGTTAAATTTGTTTAAATTTTCATGTATATGAGCATTTTGTCTGCATCTAGTGTGTACTAATTAATATGTGATAGCAGATATCACTGGAAACTGTCTTGGAGTGCTCATTGTTTTCAAAGCTGGCATCAGTGAATACCCCGCTTTCTCCCTGTGACAGCATCACTCCTCACGTGGGTCCACCCAGCTGGGCAGCTCCTGTGCCACGCTTACAAGATGCTGCTGTTCTCACAGCCTCTAATGGACATTAGGAGCAACTCTGATCTTTTTTTTCTTTAGATGCCAGTGATTTTTATATCTCTCTGGAAATAGTAGAGTCATTTTCTCAGCAAACCGTAACTGCTTCTTTTTTCAACTTACTGTGTTTTGATCTGGCTTTGTGAAAAAGATGACACAAAAAGCAGCAGTTACCTCTTTCAATTTTCTTACCTGGTACTGCTATTGCAGGGCTACAGATTCAGTTTCTGACATGTTATGGTCAAAATTAAGGGGATCCGACTGACTGCGCTTCTGAGGCAACTGGGGTGTTGAGGTAGTCTTGTCTAGCAGGTGTAAACTCCTCTGTGATTGGACAGCCCAGTGTTCTGACAGGACTGGAGAGTGGCTGAGTGAGTGAGTGTGGCTTTGGAAGCAGTCTGGAAAGGGGAGGATATGGTGTTGATTGGGGTGATTCTTGACAGTTAAAGGTACTCTGAACATTTCTATTCAAGGCTTTTGTGGTCAAAGGGGATTAAGTATTTTCACTCAAATGCCTTGGCAATAGGATGGGGTATGTATAAGAAATCAGCAAATTGTTTTCTTTAGTACTATTATGTTACTTTACACAGTCAAGTTAATGACTGTGATGAGAATGTCATTTTAGCATAAGTTGCATTTCCATAATGACTTAATGTCTACGTTTCTACCTTAAGTTTTTTGTGTCTATGCATATGTAGAATATGTGCGCTGTGCCTGTGCATGCTGGTACACATGCGCATTTGAGTGTCTATCTGTGGAGACGAGTTCATTGTGGAGGGATTGCGTTCCACCTTACTTATGGGACAGGCTTTCTCCCTGAGTCTTGAGATTATGAATCAGCTAGACTGGGTAATGGGCGAGCTCTGGGGTTCTTCCTGTCCCTGTGCACCTCAGCTCTAGGGCTGCAAATGCAGACTGCCACACCTGTTTTTTTTAAATGGGTGTTGGGGATCCAAATGCAGGTTCTCAAAATGTATGTAGCAGCCATGTTACCTGATGAGTCATCTCTTTAACCTCACAGTTATCTTTTTGTGTTTACATATTTTTTAAAAAATCTTTTGTTTAAAAAATTGTTCATCTTGCTATGCTTTTTTATTTCTTTCTAGAAGAATGGGAACCAGATTTTTCTCTTTAGAGAAAGTGCATGTATGAGCAGGCTTAGATTTGTTGTATATATGTGGTGGGGGATTTTGGCAAGTTGGCCAAAGAACTTCACTTCTTCAGACTAGAGTAGAAAGAACATCACAGCGTATTTAATATTACTACCAGAGTGCTAGCCATGGTGGTGTCAGAGCTGCCTGCCTGCCTTGTTTGTAGATGCAGTTATTTTCTCTCTTACATGTGTGAGGTAACTTCGTTTCCTTAATGTTTTTAGGAAATCAAATTTTAATTGTGATAGAGTATTGATTTAGATTTTGTATTTTTTTAAAAAAAGCACATCCTGCAAGGTATTAAACATACTCTCCTATGTTGTCCCCAGGAGTGACTTGTTTTGTTCTTGTTGTGTTGGGGTTAAACCCAGGGTCTTACGAATGTGAGGCCAGTGACCTGCCAGTGAGCTTGCTCATATGTATTTTGGAATTTCACCTTGAAAGAACAAATATTTAAAATGAAGTTGGCCTGTTTACTTTTTGGTCAGTGTTTGCAAATTCTTTCTTGTTGTTTGTATTTTTAAGAAAAAAGAGCCATCATAAAAGTGCATGGTTCAGATTTTCTCTTTTTGTAAAAGTAGTACTTTTGTGAAATGATACTTATTGTGACATGTTATATGGTCTTAGAAATGTAAAGAAGAGATGAGATTAAAAAGTATACCCCCAACCTTGATAGTACATGGGCTATGGGTATTTAGCTTTTTAAAACAAATTATAAGTTAAGTGGGATTTTATTATATACTCTTTTGCAATGTGCTGTTAATATGACACCTTTTAAGTAGACAGGTGTTATTCCATCTTGTAGTTATAAATGATTGATTGTCTCAGTACACTGTTAAAGTAAGCAGCACGTGTGTGTGTTTGTATAAATATCTACTCTGTGGAGATGAGAAGTTTTAATAATTTTACTAATTTTATTTAGGATGAGAAAACCAAATGCAACAAATACGCTGATGAACTTGCAAAAATGGAGCTGAAGTGGAAAGAACAAGTGAAAATTGCTGAAAATGTAAAACTTGAACTAGCTGAAGTAGAAGACAATTACAAAGTAAGTACACAGGCTTGATGCATGGTGCTTGGGGAACATGCTGGTCCTGGTAAAAGTTTGGTACCTATAAAATATCAGCTGAGTACATTTTCAGTGTAGATATGCTGTGTGTTTAATTACAGTTTATTTGCTAACCTGAGAATATGGACTCCCACATTCATTGGTTAATGTGACTTTAGTGCTTTGCATTCAGGGGAATTTGAATTTCATTCATTCATTCATTTCTCCAAGAAGGGGTTTCTCTGTGTAGCCTTGGCTGTCCTGGACTCACTTTGTAGACCAGTCTGGCCTTGAACTCACAGAGATTTTCCTGCCTCTGCCTCCCCAAGTGCTGTGGTTACAGGTATGTGCCACCGTGCCTGGCTGAAATTTATCTTTTAAAAAAGTTGTTTTAGTACATACTAAGTATATATAATAGTAGTCTTCAGCATATGTTCATGTATCTGTATGATAAATGCTTATAATGTCATCCCTCCCCGACACACAGTACAGCCTCCCACTGATACTCTGTTCAGTTTCCTTATTTCATGCCCAGTCTTGTGTGTCTTATCTGCCACCTCCTCCCTTAAACCCAGCCAGTTTCATTAGTGTTGCTTTGCTGAGAGGTTATGGATTGGAGTGTGGGCAACGTAGCAGTGACTATACCACTGAAGAGAACGTGTTTCCCTCCTCCGGCAGCCATTAACTACCTATTATCTTAAGAGAAGTGTAACACCTCATTAAAGTACACCCTCCATGATGGAATGCTGATGGCCTAAACTTGTGCAGCTCTTGAGCAGGTGGTGATGAGGTTTTGCTGAGAATTCAAGGGTACAAACGTCATGTCACAGCCCAAGACAGCATTCCACAGTACTCCAGCCCTCCCTCTGACTCTCATATTCTTTGAGCCTTTTCTCCTGCAGTGTTTTCCTGAGCCTTGGCTAAGATGACACAGATGTCCATTTAGGGCTAATCATTCAACAGCACTTTGACTAGTTCTCTAACCACCACCCACTACAAGAGAAGCTGCTCTGATCAGGGTTGACTATAGCACTAACCTGTGGGCTTGAAAATAGTGGTTAGAGGGCCTTGACAGATACATACATCATGACCATTTAGAGTAGTCCTATGTTCTCTCTAGCCATTGGCTTTTGACCAGGTGTATATTACATAGATAGGCGTTCCCTTCAAAGGAGATCCAAAAGTATGTGGTGTCTAAAGCAGTAAGTTCTTTCCTTCCAGTTTTGATACATAAGCCAACACCAATGGCAATACCTTCTATCGTTTTGGACTGGCTAACAACCCACAGGGAGTGGCCTAGTCAAAAAACTATCTTTAAAAGTTATCACTTCATTTTTTTATTGTATCGTAAATGTAAATGCTAAATTATTTTGGGACTTGACTTTTTTTAAGTGTAATGGTATGTTATTAGCTTGCTAGCTTTAAAATTTACCGTACTGATTACTGTGATCCTACATAAAATACTGTGTTTTAAGTGATTAATATTAATAAAGAAACTTAGTTTTACCAGTGTAATATTAGGTAACAGTCCCAACAATAAGTGGTATCTGTAAGAATGTTAGGAAAAAAGAGCAAGCTACTGGAGTACTATGTCAAAAGTATTATCCTTTTAAGGAATAAACTGTATATGATAGATTTTAAGATATCTATATATATATAATTTACCTCTGTGATTTGAGTCTGGGGAGTCCTAAATAATTTAACTTCATCTGTAGCCAGTTTTTTTTTGTTTTTTTTTTTGTTTTTTTTGGCATGTCTGAGAGAGAGGAGAGAGAGCATGTGAGAGGCAGAGAGAGACCAACCGACTGACCACAGCTGCTAGGGGAGAATTGTATCTGTAATAGAGTAGATTAGACTTGAATAATAAATACCATGGCTTCAGGTTCTAGAGGCCTAGGAGGAAGGGAACTCAGTGGCAGTGGGCCCTTTCAGAGTAATTTTGTAAGGTCTAAAGAGGCCTTAAAGCTGACGATAGAAGTGTTCTTAGAAAAAGTTGATAAAGTCCATTTTCTTTTGGATCCCTTTTTAATTTTTATTTATGTGTATGGGTGTTTTGTTTGCATGTGTATTTGCGTGTTCTTTGTTTTCCTGGTACCTATGGCAGCCAAATGAGTACATCAGATTACATGAAACTGGAGTTGGAAGCAGCCATATGGGTGCTGGGGATTAAACTCTGGAAGAGCCATCTCTCCAGCCCCCTTTGATACATTCTTGATCTCTTATTATAGACCAGGGACATGAACCTAGAAAGATCGATCTGAAATATACCTTAGGAAGAACTATTGAAGTAATTGATTTTGTTGTTATTGTTGTTTGCTATTTTGTTTAAGACATGGTCTCCCTATATGTATCCCTAGCTAGCGTGAAACTCTATGTAGACCATGCTGGTCTCAGATTCACAGGGATCTGCCTCCTTTTACCTCTCAAGTTCTGGGGTGTGTGTTACCTTATCCTGCAAAGAATATCTGTGAATGCAATTGCTCTTTCTTTTGTTAGGTTTTTGGTTTTTTTTCCTCTCTCTCTCTCTTTAAGACAGGGTTTCTCTGTGTCTAGCCTTGGCTGTTTCTGGAACTCTCTTCGTAGACCAGGCTAGTCTCGAATTCACAGAGATTCGCCTGCTTCTGCCTCCCAAGTACTGTTGCTCATATAGTTGATTACTGGATAGTTGTTAAATGAGTGATATAGATGGAAAATGCTGGGGAGCAGAGGAGGAAATGGTTGTAACGTTTAAGCTTCTGTTACACTGCTGATTCTGATGGTATCTGTTAATTAATAAAGTAAGTGTGAGACATTTAGTCTTTACATTTACATGTAGGAAAACATATCTTACTATTACTTGAAATGGCAGATTTCCCCAGCCGTAGCATATCTGTAATCATGACACTTGGAAGTTTGAGGCAGGAGGTTATAGATCATTTAGGTCCTGCTTGAACTAAATCTTGAGTTCCTGGCTAGCCTAGAACTCAGGATGAGACCTTGATTTAAAATAATAATTGGCAGATTTAGAACTTGGGAATGAGAATGGTACATGAATTTGTATTTATGGTTTATTATCATGGATTTGACAGCTGATAATGGAAGAAAGTTTTCAGAGATAAGATGGACAAAAGCAAAGTAGAGTGGCCATAGAATATCTTTATTTGTGGTTGGGAAGGACATTTAGACACCAAAGAACAGGCATTGGGATAACAATATTGGTGCAATTTTACATAAGCCAAAGGAGCAATTTTCAAGGTAAGGGAAGCGGCCTCCAAGGTGGAAAGAAGATTTTGGAAGATAGGGTGGAAAGAATGAAAAGCTAGAAGAAAGCATGGAGCATGGCAGAATTGGGTCCTCAGACCATGATGTTACTGTTGAACTCTTAATCCCACAGCACTTGAAATTATTGGCATAAGACTTGCACAGTATTGGGTCTGTCAGTGTCCTGTCATGGGTGAAAAAGGGCCAGTGAACTAGAGACAGGTAATGGGAGCTAGGAGGGAGGGCCTCATAGGGCCCTCCACCCCTCTCTGAATATTCTGGGAGTTGCTAGGAGGGAGAGAGATAATTTATTCAGTGGCGTAGCCACTAGTAGGGAACCAATAATCCCCAGCCAGGACTCTGTAGGCAACTCTAATGAAACTCACTGGGTCACCAGTAACTATATCAAAGTAGGAGGAGGATGAGGTGGGAAGAGGAAGGGGCATTATTAGGAATAGGAGGGAAACAGGAGAGGAATATGATTAAAAACACTATGTAGGATGCCATAATGAAACTTATTATGCATAATCAATGTGTTAATAAATTCTAAAAGAATAAGGGAAGCTAGGTGTGTGATGATACATACCATTGGTCTCAGCACTCAGGAGGCTGAGACAGGAGAATTGATAGTATGAGACTAACCCAGGGCATAACAAGTTCTTGGCCAGCCTGGCTACATAAATCAAAAAATAGAAAAAATAAAAAAAGAGGAAACTGGGCAGTAATGGCAGCTAATACAAAGACTGAGAACTGAGGAAAATAACTTACTCTGGTGAAGAAAATGAGCTTGATAGTATAGTTCTAAGTGGATCTCATGTGTAAGGAGAAAATTGATAATACAAATATTAATGATAATCTTTTTTTTTATTCAGCTACAATTGGCAGAGAAAGACAAAGAAATAAATGGTCTGGCTTCACATTTGGAAAATCTCGCAAGGGAGAAGGTACTGAGCAGTGCACTTTAATAAAAAGTGGACATCCTGTAACTGATCTTTTGTCCGTCTTCTCTTTGGAAGTTGTCTTCCATGTCTTCAACTGTCTCCTCCCTGGTAGTAAACAAGAATTTATGTGCTACTCTCATTCCCACTTTACATATCTGCTGGTTGTTATGAAATATGCCAAGTGTTGAAAATTGCTAGTTTGGTTTTTATCACTTACTGTGCATTTAAAAATAAATTAGGTCTAAAATATTCAAATTTAGGGAAGAAATGAATTTTTAAGTGGGTCTTCAACTTGGGTCTTTTCTTGAAAAGAAGTGAACCTGTTAATTAAAGGAAAACAATTGATAGTTTCTCACCATTGATAAAATTCAAGCTCTTAAACCCAACTAAATTATTGAAAACTTGTGTTTTCTGTGTTATTTGATGCTTGCCAGTGTATCCAGAATTCACCTAATAGGTGGAAGAATTCGGTGGTGAAATAAAAGGTGCAGCATTTGGAAGATCCACTTAGGGAGGGGGTCTCTAGCTTGTTGGCATAACTGTGCTACAGAATTGCATTTTTCAGCTTCATCACTTCTCTAGTTGTCTTTTGTCATTCTCCTACCAGGGAAGACCTTTTGTCTTCATGTTTTGTGTATGTGTTTGTGGTTTGACAGTCGTCTGCTAACCCACTAGTATCCTGCAGTCAGTTGTGGTGCTGCTGTGAGGTGTAGCATTCTCAGCTCTCACGGGCTAGGGGCTCAGTTGCATAAGCTTGCTTCTACTGCAGTTCAGTTAGGTACTCAGTTAAACTTAACCGTAGGACCTGGGCTTTTTATCATCATGTTTTTCATAATTTTAATTATGCAGATGTATTTATACAACAAATAAGAGTTAATTTGACGGAGTCACATGAAAAATGTTGAAGATTTGAAATCTAGGTTGTTTAGGGGTCTCTGTCCTCCCTCTTTTCTCCTTTTCCCGTCCTCTTTAGATGGTGCTGGGGAATCAAACCCAGAGCCTTCTGCAGACTAGACAAGTGTTCTGCCATTAAGCCATATTTTCAGCTGTGAGACAGGTTTCCGTTATAACTCAGGTGAGCCTTGAATTCACTTTTTATCTCAGGCTAGCCTCAACCCTAGGATCCTTCTTTCTCTGCCCCCCAAATGCTGGATATTTTAAATATAGGCAGTTTAAGACATCTTTGCATTTTCAGATCATTCTGTCAGTTTGTGGAGGCGCCTGCTGTAATTTTTTTATTACGATTTTATTGTATCTGTAGTTAGTTTGAGGCAAGTTCCTAGTGTAAAAACAATGTTTTCTGTCTGTGTACTTGGTATGTATCTCTCCATTTATGCTCTTTTTAATCACACTCAGTTTTGTATTATTCTTAGTGTATAGGCACTGTACATCTTTTTGCTAACTCCCTAGGCATTTTCTCTTATTGGTTTCACTATGTAGGGTTATAATTTTCATTCTCTTCTTTGTTGTTTGACTTACGTGTTGGCTTTGAATCCTGCAGTCTGCTTAAATTCGCTCATTCCCCTACCTTCTGTGCTGTAGGCTCTTTCTAGAAGTACAGTTGTAGCACCTGAATAAAGACAATTTTGTTTCTGGTCTGTCTGCCTCAGTCTTGTCTTAGTCACAAGTTATGTTGATGAGAATTAGGGAGAACAGAATCCTTTGTTTCATTGGCAGTAGAATCCTTTTTTTTTTTTTTTTTTTTTTAACTTTTATGGACTTCATGAGAATCTTTTAAGGAATTTTTATTCTAGCTGGCTAGATTTTTAAAAACCCTGAATGAATCTTGAATTTTCTGCATATATTGATTTTTTTCCCCCTTCTTACTCTGTTAACATGAAATTTTTTTAGATGTTTGTCATAGTGACAGGCTAGAGAAGTATTAGTGCTATGTTTGGACTAAGTCTATGCGTCCTCATAGGACATGTGGCTGCTTTGCTTACTCGTCTTGTTTTGTTAATTTTAGGAACTTCAAAGGAGTTTAGAAGATCAGAAAGGAAGGAAAATGGAAGGTCAGAGCCCCCAACAAGTCTTGAGGTGTCTCAACACGTGCTCTGAGCAAAATGGGCTCCTTCCCACACTCTCGGGTGCACAGCCAGTTCTGCAGTACGGCAACCCTTACACAACACAGGAAACGAGAGGTTAGTCAAGTACTGTGGGCTTGGGATTAGCTGACTCTAAGAGGTTTGGCTTTTGTTTTCATGGAATTAGAGAGTTGAGGGTGTAATCAACTCTAATAAAAACATTTTCTTCATATAATTTGTCGATTTAGAGTTTAATATTGACATCCTCTGCAGGTCATGACTGAGGGGTCTTAATTATCACAAGACTCAGATTTTAGAGTGTGGGTTAATAATAAAACATAAGAAACAGGGTCTTGCTCTGTCCCCCAGTCTGGCATGTGCTGGCATGCCCATGTGGCCTCTGCTGCTCTTCCTGTGTAGTGCTGAGGCTCCCAGGCCTTTTGGTGCTCCAGGAAAGCATGTTGCCACTGAGCCACACCTATTTGCTTCTCTGTGTCATATCTACGTATTAGAGGTGTTAATTTCTGTAACTAGTTTCATCCATTGTTTTTCCCTAAATGTTTCTGTCATAAATCTTAACTATAGATGGAGCAGATGGGGCTTTTTATCCAGATGAAATCCAGAGGCCACCTGTGAGAGTTGCATCTTGGGAAGACAATGTTGTTTGTAGCCAGCCTGCTCGGAACCTTAGCCGGCCGGATGGTTTAGAAGACCCAGAGGACAGCAGAGTAAATTAAGTTTTAATTGTTTCAGCCTGTTTGCTCTTGTACTTTCTGGCTTAGGTGGAGTGTTAAGGTTGTATGTTTAGAAAGACGGAATTTACATTTGCACGTGATGCTTGGTGTTTTTTGTTTTTGAAAAAAAAATGTATGTTTGCTGGGCATTGGTGGTGCACGCCTTTAATCTCAGCACTCAGAAGGCAGAGGCAAGTGGTTCTCTGGGTTTGAAACCAACCTAGTCTACCATGTGAGTGCCAGGATAGCCAACACTGCACATAGAAACCCTGTCTCAAAATAATCCTCCCCCCCAAAAAAAAGAAAAGAAAAAGAAAGCTAAAATAGTATATATTTTTTAGACCCTTTAGGATTCATATACTAAAGATTATGCTCAGAGGATGATTGGGATTATCAGTTATTAGTGTAATCCTAATTATGACTTCCTAAGTAACTTTCTGCAGTCTTTTGATTGTGGCTCTGATGTACTAGAAAAAACAGAGTATGAAAATACATCGCATAGTATGAAGCTGCCATTTCAGTTTCATTTTAAGGTAAATGTTATTATCTTTATCATATAGCAGTTTTCTTTCTTTTTCAAGAAATCCCCTTTTTAGACATCCTTAATACTTCGTGACATTTTTTATTCTGGTAGCAACATAAAAATGATGATACTAAATTAGCTTATATGTCATAAGAGTTTTGTTTTCTGCTTTTGAGACAGGTTCTCTATAAAGCCCTGGCTGTCCTGGAATGCATTATATAGTCCAGGGTGGTCTCCAACTCATAGAAATCCACCTGCCTCTTCCTCCCAGGGCTGGAACTAAAGGCATATGTCACCATGTCTGGCTAAAATGTTATTTTTAAGAATTTTTTTTATACCATTTAATAAATAAAATTCCTTAGGGCAGCTCTTTTGGGGGTGGGGCTCCTTTTTTTTTTTTTTTTCTTTCTTCATAGCAGCTCTTAGATTTCCTGTGCATTGAGATAAATTTCAAGGAAATGGTTTATCGTGCTCTTTGCAAGTACAGTGGTATCATGACCTGTTTCTCATTTAATATAGTTTGCTGCATTTAATTGCTATTAACCTTTGCAGAAACTGATCAGTGTTCAGACAGGCATGATTTTAGACCTAGTGTTCAACACTCATAATGGAGAAAAATGTATTTCTCTCTCTTGCCTTTTGGCCTCCTGTGTCCATTACTGGGAATAATTAGGAAAACTGTCAGAACTTTTGTAGCCTGTTTAAGGTCTCTAGTATCATCTTACTGCTTTTTTACAACTTTACTTTACATTTTGCATATTTAATCTGATCATTCTTGGCACAGATGTTACATGTGACAAGCCTTTCTCCTTCCATAATCATCTGCTTCGGCTTAATTAGCAGAATGTTCTTTCTGGTCTGTGTGCTTTGCCCTTCTGCAAACCCATGAGAAGCAATGTTAGAGTCTTGAGCTCATTTGCTGAGATGCTTAGATTGGTAATGAGATAGAAGGGTTCTTACTATGCATGCCTGGAGTATTTGTATTTTATAAACAGAATATTTTCCATGTTAGAAAGTAGTTTTTATGTGCATCTAAAATTTCTAAGTTTCTTGTCATTTTAACAGCAAAACCACTTGCAAACGAGGGGTTTTATTATGTAGTTTTACTAAGAATATAGAAAGCAAATTTTGCTAAAGGGGTGGTTAATAGTCACAGTGCCCCAGTGGTCACCTTAGAGTCAAGTTGAGATGTCCAACTCTGTTAGCCTGTGTTGCTGCTGACAACACCAGCTGCCACTTCCTCTCTTGTGCTAGAAACTGGTGGCTTTCATTATTCTAATAATTGCAGCAGTTGTAACAATGTTAGCAGTGGCAGCAAAGGTTTCTCTAGCTGTTTGCCTGCTGAGCCCTATATACATGCTAGCTCACTAGTTTTTCACAGTAGTTCTAAGAGGTGGGTTATCAGTTTTACTAGTTGCTAGTGGAAGAAGCTGAGGAACTGATTAAGTAGTTAGACCTAAGTCACACCACCAATAAAGCAGGCAGAGGATCAGAACCTTTTCAGGTCTTCTGTGAAAGCTGTGCTTTTAACTTTCTCAGCTGTGGTATATCAGAGCTCCTGGACTTCTCAGGTCATAGCACCTTGAACAATTTCCTTTATCACTTTTCCTAGGCCAAAAGACATACCTAGTAAGTATTTATGTCCTAATATATTTAGTAACCATTAAAAATAGTATATCTAAATTAAAATTTCATGTTAATTTCAAATAACCATAGTTACCAATGAGATGTGTGTGACTTTTAGCCACTGTCCAACGTTAGGAGCTTTGGGATCAGAGTGGACAAGCCAATTCTTACTTCACATTAGCTTTTACACAGCGCTTGCTTTAAATCGCAGCAATCCGGAGACTGAGCTCCTCAAAGCTGGGGTGTCAGAGAAGGGTGTTAGCACTGCCCTGAGGGGAACCTGAGCAGTGTGCCAGATCGGTTTTCACGTGCTGACAGATACAGGGTATTTCTGTACAATTTAATACCTCTTCAAAATTAAAATCCCATGAAAGCCCTCTGAATTTCTGTGGTACCCTAGCTACCTTCATACTTAGTTTTTGGAACCATGATCTAAGTCTTTTCTACTCACTAAGTGTGGTTTGCATATAAGCAGCAGTGTTGTCCCAGGATTGCAGGAGGCTTTCCTGCCTTGCAGCCTCCTGAGAATCAGGGGCTGTATGGTCTGTGTTTCACGTGCAATGATCCGAACTTACACACCTTCTGTTTAAGACTAGATATTTTCCTCCCTTAATACACATTTACATTTTTTGTTTTCCTTCTTCATTTCTATTCCTATTAATAAAGATGTTTTATTGCAGCTTTCCATGGGTCCTTAATAATGAGCTCCTCAACTGAAGATAGTTTGATACACATTTTTCTGTCACAATTTTAGCATTTCTTGTCAGAAGTATGGTTCTCAAAGAGTCTTCTGACCCCAGAATTACTGAAAATCAGGGCTGCTCCCCATTTGTCACAATGTATGGCTTGTGGCTTCATTTTAAATTGCCATCACAATAGTATTTGTTCTAGTGTGTTTACAAAAATGATATAAAGTGGCATCTTTACTGAGTAGCTAGAAAAGTACAAGGGAGATTCCTCTATAAAGTCTTGTTTCTCTTGATTAGGTAGAGATAGATCTCCCTCTTTCTGGTTCTACTGTTTTTACTTACTGCGCTGTTTAAAATGTAGTGTCCCTTAGAATAGTGGCACTGGGTATTAGCTTTGTTGAAATCTGTAGCTCACCACATAAAGTGCGCAGCTCTGGTGCTCAGTGGAAATAAGAGTTGTGCGGAGTCAGTTTAGAAACATTTTTTTGCCCAGGAAAGAAGAAATCCTTTTGTCTTTACCTCTCCCTATATCTGCTTCTCTTGTAAATTACCTATTCTAGACACCAGTTACAATAAATCGATCATAGTCTATATGGTCCTTTGGATCCCCCAGCGTGTTTTCAAAGTTACCCCAGTTTCGGCATGCATTTATGTTTAGCATGGAAAATGTGCTTCCTTACCTTATTGCTGGATAATATTTCATTGTCTGAATATTCCGTGTTCATATTTTAGGTTTATTTTTATTTTCTGTATATGTGTTTGACTGCATGTATATCTGAGCCCCATGTGCCTGCATGTGCCTGGTGCCAGCTGAGGCCAGAATTGGGCATTGATCCCCTAGAACTTGGAGTTTACAAGCAGTTGTAAGCCATTGTGTGGGTGCTGGGCACTGAACGTGGATCCTGTGCAAAAGCAACCAGTGAGTGCTCTTAACCACTGAGCCATCTGACCAGTCCCTGAATATGCCATATTTTATTTCTTTTTTATGGGATTGCATCATTTTCCTCCTTTAGCTACTGTGAACAGTGCTTTTCTGGATACTTTTATGTAGAAGTCTTTCTTGGAATACTTCTTTTCACTTTTGAGGGGAAAATGAACTGCTAGAGTTACTATACTTGTAATTGCTAGTGTGCAATCCCAAGGGGTAAAGCTGATTGGTTACGTGGCAACACTGTCTTTAACTTTTTGTTTTTCACAGAGACTGCATGATGTTAACATTCCCATCAGTATTACCAGGGTTCAAGTTCTCTGTATAGGTACTGATACTTTATTATTAGAAATGTCTGCTTTGAAAGTATAGTCTTTTAGAGTAGCCATGAGGTGGTTGTCACATGTTTTTGATTTGTGTGATGATGCCAAACATCTTTCTTTATGCTTTTGTGAATTGTCTTTGGAGAAATAGCTATTCAAGTTTTTTGCTTCTTTCTAAATCAGATTCTTAGATTTATCATTTGCAAAGTTCTCTGTTCCTAGATAAAATCTATGGCTGCACAAAAGTGACCTAAGTTTTGGTGAGGTCAGGTTTCTCTGGTAATTTGTTTCTTATCCCTTTCTTGTTTGTATACAAGCAACTTTTGCCTGCTTGAGAGTGTTGATTGTCACTGTAAGAGTTATAGTTTTAGCTCTTATATTTGGTCTTTGATCCATTTTGGTGTGATTTTTGAATATAGAAAAAAGTAAAGGTTTGAAAACCAGAGATTGTGTAAAATTATGTGCTTTTTGATTTTTAAATGGCTTTAAATTATATAGTTCAGCATATTCTTTCACTGACTGATAAATTATTAGAAATGGATGTTTGATAAAACTTGAACGTCATATCATAAAAAGAAAAGGAATCTATACGAATACCACCTAACAAAGGTTTTGAGAGGCAGGAGTATCTTCTAGGTTTCAGTCACTCATATCCTCTTTGTCCAGCAAGTTGATACATCATCAAACCCTTCAGTTTCCTAAAGGATGCATGCTTTTGAATTAAAGGAGTAATTGCCAACTAGCAAAGGTCTACTCTGTGCTCAGCTGGATTCCTGAATGTGCCACAGTATTTCAGCTCATAATTCTTGCAAAGATAGACGTAGTCCTGCAAGTGGCCACTAGTGATTCTTACGTTGTTAGGTGGTTGTTGACCTGAATGTGTTTCGCTCTTCTTCTTTTGGTGTTAAAGTGCTAAGAGTAGCGTGTTATGTATATGGATGTTTTGCTTGCATATGGATGTCAGTGTACCACATGTGTGCCTGGTGCTTAAGGAGGCCAGAAGAGGGCATCAGATACCCTGGACCTAGAGTCGAAGATGGTTGTGAGTCATCATGTGGGTTCTGGGAATGGAACCCTTGGGTTTTTTTTTTTTTTTTTTTTTTCCAAGAGCAGCAAGTACTGTTAACCACCAAGCCATCTCTACAGACCCACATTTTTAAATGTATTTTTAAATAAACAAGTTATGTAACAATTTACTCTGAATAATCAGTCTCCAGAGTTTTGTCTTGCAAAGTGGAGACTTTATATTCATTAAACACATCCCTTGTCTTGAAAAATCACACTTCTGATTGGTTTTCTTAAATGACTACCTAGGTATCCCTGTAATCATAAAAAAAATTTTTGTAATTGGCATATTTTACATTGTATGTTTTTAAGGGCCATTTATAGTACAAACATGTTAGAATTATTTTGTTAAAAGTATTTTTACACTGCTGTGTGTGTGTGTGTATACAGATACTCTCAGAGGCCAGAAGAGGGTGTCTGTTAGATCCCCAGGAGTTGGAGTTACAGATCATTTGGGCCAACAGATGTGGGTGCTGGGAACTGTACTTGGGTCTGCAAAAGTATCAAGTGCTGTTAACTGCTGATCCTCCTGCTTAGTTATTCTATTGCTGTGAAAAGATACCATGACCAAGACAAGTTACAGAAGCAAGCATTTAATTGGGGGCTCACTTAGAGTTTCACAGAATCATGGCAAGAAGCATGGCAGTAGGCAGGCATGGCATTGGAGCAGTAGCTGAGAACTCTTACGTTGAGACAAAAACTGTGAGGCAGAAGGAACCTCAGAGTCTACCACCAGTGACATACAGCTCCTAATCCCTCAAAACAGTTCACCAACTAAAACCAAGCATCCATATATATGAGCCTATTGAGAGCATTCTCATTCAGACTACTAACACCATCTTAGCCCCAGAAATTTAAAATAAATGATTCTCAGTCTTTTTCAACTTCTAATATATATAATTTGACTCAAATTTTTATTATTTAAAAAATTAACAAATGACATCTCATTCTTTTAACTTGTAATATAAAGCTCTGTGATCAAAACTGAATTACATGGACTTTTTCAGTTATTTTGCTTTTAACCCTCCATCTTCCATTTATACTAAAGCCCTGCCTTAATAGCTTCACTTCCCAGTCTAAGCTATTTTCATTGACATGGATTTGAGAATGAATTAGGGGATAGACTGTAGTGTATATTTTTGAAGACTATTTGCTTCATCATCATGTTTTTATTTCTTTTTAGAAGAGACAAAAGTTAGCCAGGCGGTGGTGGTGCACACCTTTTATCTCAGCACTCAGGAGGCAAAGGCAGGCAATCCCTGTGAGTTCGAGGCCAGCAGATACAGTATTTCAGTTATTGTGACTGGAAGTCCTGTGCCGGGGAGCTAGAACAACCTGACACAGTCAGAATGATTATGTCTTGGATAATAAACGTAACAGACTCAACAAATACATCCTCTTTCTTGTTTGAGTGAATTTAAATGCTATTGATCCTATAGTTACTAGATTTAATTCTTATTGCTTGTGAAGTGTTTGTTTTATCCTGTTTCCAACCTCAAATTATCAGCCCTATTTCCTTTGTCACCCAGTTATCTCTTACAAGAAACACACACTCACACCCATACACACACACACACACACACACACACACACACACACACACATATACATGTGGATAAGAGAGAGAGTCAGACAAACAGACATAGACCCTGAGGCTCTTTACTCATTTTAATTTTCAAGCAGGAAAAATTGTTAGATGCTAGCCAGGCTGTGCACCTCCTGCAGAAGTACTCGATTTGTTGTTCTTTGTTCCAATTGCATTTTCACAGCAACTATGCTGTTTTGGTGCTTTTCGCCAGAACATGCGTTAACCCTTTCATTGCCACTGTGAGGCAAGCATGACCTCCCAGCAACATAAGGCATGTTCAGCAGTCTTCCATCCATGCCTCCTTAAAGGGTTAAGCTTGAATAGCTGTTGAGGAGGTGTGCTTTTGGTGGTCAGTGAGTGTCTATGTTTGGCTAGTGATTGGTATAAATTAGATTTATACCACTCCCAGTACTCAGAGAGGCAGGAGCAGGGTGATCTCTGAGTTTGAGGCCAGCCTGTCCAGGACAGCCAAGGCTACACAGAGAAACCTTGTCTTGAAACACCAAAAAAAAAAAAAAAAAAAGTCATTGTTTTGTCCAGTGTATCCACCCAGTAATGCATTATGCCCATTAGTAGAAGACTCTGTTTTCAGATTGAAGTATTTGTGTTCAAGTAACTACTTTGCTTAGTAATGGACCCAGTGCACTAAGAAGTGGTGCTGGCAACGGGATGCCAAAGAAATGTCCATAAAGTACTCTCTTTAAAAGTTAAAATTCAGGCCAGGAGGAGGTGGTGCACACCTTTAATCCCAGCGGTAGGAGGCAGGTAGATCTCCAAGTTTGAGGCCAGCCTGGTCTACAGAGGGAGTTCCAGGACAGCCAGGGATACAGAGAAAACCTGTCTGAAAAAACCAAAACCAAAACTACAACCAAACCAAACCAAACCAAAAAAAACCAAAACAACAAAAGTTGAAATACAATAAGGTAGTTTTAGATGACTAGAGATCAAATACACTTAATTTTTTTGTTTTCAGTGTGTTCTTTTGCTTTGCTTTTCTTAATAACCTCTTTTATGCCTTATTTGTAAAATAAACTTTCTTTTATAACCATGAATGGAAGAAAACCAACAGTATTGAAAGAGTTCGTCGGAACCTCAGTTTCAGGCATCTTGGAATGTATGCCCTGGAATGAAGGAGGAATATGTATTTCCAAAAAAAAGGCACTTTTTTTTTGTCCCTAGTAGAATGCTCTGTAATAAACATTCTTTCAAATCTGTGCTTATATGAAAGCTTAAATAATAATAGAGCTAAAACTTAATTGGGTAATTTAAATGTCATTATGAACATCCTTGAATTAAAGAATTTGGTTTCACTTTTCTCAAAAAGCTGCTCTGTTTTTTTTTGTTCCAGGAAGATGAGAATGTGCCCGTTCCTTCTGATCCAGCAAATCAGCATTTACATGGTCATGGAGCAGGCTTTTGCTTTGATTCCAGGCAAGTTTTTTTTTTTTTTTTCTTTGTAGAATTATACAGAATTATATAAGACAAGTGATTCTGAGAAATAGTTTCTGGAAACTTGTTAAAAAATACAGTGCCCAGAACCCAGCATACAGAACATAAATCCTGGTCAAGGTCCAGCATTTACCTTGCCTTCTGTGTGGTTCAGACATGCCATCTTTTTAAAGAGCTGGTGGCAGAGAAACTGGGAAATAGATAGGTCGGAATTCTGTGTTATGTCTGTGTGTGGGTTTGTTCACTTGAGTTCAAGTGCTCACAGGGTCCAGAAAAGGACATCTCCCCTGGAGCTAGAGTTGGGGCAGTGGTGAGCCATCCAGAGAGGGGACTAAACTCTGGTCCTCCGCAGGAGCAGTACTCCTATTCTATCAAGCCCCAAAATTCTCTGGATGTTAAACCCTGTAGACACTGGCAGAAAATGATGAGTTGTATTCATCCTTGGAGTTAAAAAAAAAAAAAAAAAAAAAGTAAAACAAAAAACATTTTAAAAAGTGGGAGAATTTTTTTTTTACAGTAAGCTTCATTTCACATAATGTCTGGCTTTGGGGGTTGTCAGTCCCGTTGTAAGTTAGTAGTGGTTTTGTAGGAAGACGGATGTTGTACACAGTACCAAGAGTCTAGAAGCAGAACAAAGTTAACTAAGCTTGTGAAGACTTCGAGCATAAGTTGTTTGGTATAAGTATCAGCTAACTAGATTAATGCAGCTGCACCTTCAGTCTAATTCGGTATTAGAAAATACCTAATTCTTTCATTTTCTTCTTTGTTTAAAAGCTTTGATGTTCACAAGAAGTGTCCCCTCTGCGAATTGATGTTCCCTCCCAACTATGATCAGATCAAGTTTGAAGAACACGTTGAAAGTCACTGGAAGGCGTGCCCAATGTGCAGCGAGCAGTTCCCACCTGACTACGACCAGCAGGGCTTTGAAAGGCATGTTCAGACCCATTTTGATCAGAATGTTCTAAACTTCGACTAGCTTTTATTCTGAGTTAGTAAAATTAGCACTTAAGAAAAAGAGAAAGAAACCCTCAGAGTCTAAGGGAAGCACAGGTGTCACTTCTACGTCCCTGTGCTGCGCTTCTCTGACTGAGAACTTCTTTGGGATATGGTGTCGCTGCAGGGCACAGCTTTGACTACAGTAAATACAGTTGTCATCTGTTACTCTTGTCTGCTTTAAGAACAGTTCTTGTACGTTCATATCTGTTTATTCCATAGTTAGAAAAAGTATATGAAGAAGGACACAGGAATTGTTTTAATGTTACTGAATTGAAAACACACACACACATCTATGTAGTAAGTTGCAGATTACTTAGTACAATCAGATTTACAAGTTTCTGTTCACCTTGGTGATTGAGCATGACTACTATTATGTAATAAAAAGCATTGATCATAACAGCTCTGTGAAATAATTCTTTGAATATAGAAAAATCCTTAATTTAGTTAGTGAAATGACAAATTTTAAAATCCTACTTGGTCATGGAGCTGCACGAAGAATGAGATCATAGGTTTTAAGATAATCTTTTTGTATGCAAAACACTGGCTCTAGGAATTAATATGAGGCATATTTTGTTAATTTATGATAAAAATTTTAACATAATCTGGATGACTATTTTTCAATTATTGAATTTGTATTTATAACCAGTGAGAGAATGGACCAAGATAAATCAAGGCATCATCTGTTTTCATTAAATGACCTTTGTAAATGGTTTGTGGCATAAAAATGACTGTGTATTGGTATCTTTCTCACAGTTTCCGGATGAGAATACATATTGGAAATAACATTCCTCAGTCAATGATTAAAAATAGAATGCACAACCCAAATCCAGCTAATGTGTTTCTTGTTTAGCTACACAGCGTAGTGTCTATGAACATTAAAGAAGACACATTTTTGAGGCTGTCCAAATTTGCATTAGGTTTTCATTAACCGGGCAGCTTGGAGATTTTTGGCGGGGGCCTTAAACTTCTGACCTGTACTCCTCTATCTTTATGGTGGGACTGTTAAAGTCCTTTTCGTTTGCTACTTTAGTAGCTACAAAACTGTTGAGACCTTTTCTGAGCATACTGGATATTTAAGATGTTAAGTAAATATTCAGAGATAGTAGCATTCTGGGCTGCTGTATGTGATCTACTGTATAATACCATGTTGCTGATACTTATACGAGCAGAATTTGTTTCTTGAATCATTTGAAAAGGTATGTGTGTATGTTTTAAAAGTTAGTATTTTTTTTTACATTTATTTCATTCTTAAATCTAGGCTGTAGATTCAAATTGACCTAGATTCTAGGGTGAGTGTGAGGCATTCGACGGCAGCTTTCAGGCAGTCCCAGGAAGCAGGAACAGCAGTGCATATTCCTTTCAGCTTCCTGGGAAGTTTTTCATAGATTATACTTGGGCAAAATAGGCCCACATGAGGCCCTGGGGCCATGGAGATAGCCTCGGTAGGAAAGGGCCTGTTCTGCTGATTCGATCTCCAGTGCTAGACATATTGCTGGGAAGACGGCAACAGGAGATCCTTGGGGCTTGCTGGTCAGCCAGTCTAGACAGACCTCTGGGCTTCAGGTTCAGTGAGAGGCCCTCTGTCAAGTTGGAGACATGACTGGGAACGACGCATGGTGTTGACTTCCAGCCTCCGTGGATGGCCTGCGCTGTGGACGTTTCTCCTGCAGTTGGTAGGTATGCCCATGCTAGCCTAAAAGTGCTCTTTGAGTTAAAGTCTGGGTGGAACCGGGCTACTCATCTTGATGCCTAGCTGATACTTGAAGTAGGGTGTTAGCCCAAGCTTACAGTAAATTATCATTTACGGAAAAAGTAAGCAAAATGTAAGGGTACAAAATCTTTATGTATCGTCTAGATTTTGCAAAATAATTAGGAGCCTAAGAGAACAGGCACTGGAACGATGTTTTAGTTCCCACAGTAAACTTGATGCAGTTTCTCACAGTGGAGCTAATTAAAATAAAGAGCCATGTTTATTTTGGGTCAGAGGCAGTTTATTTTAAATGTGATTTCAGGTACATTTATTAAGCAGCTTTTCTTGACAGAAACTTTGAGTAAATTGCCTTCAGTTCTGATAACTTTGTTGCTTTCAAACTTAATGTGCTCTGTCCCCAACAAAACATATGAAAATATAATTTAAAGCACGGTTTTCACAGACACGGTACGATACATTCACTATACACGGTGTAACAAAATATCCCCTTCCTTACCTGCTTAGTAATACTGTCACAATGGAGAAGTAGAAACTGGGTTCATCACGGAAAGATTTAACATGCACAATGACTGTTTATGACTGGGTAGCTGCTGAACTACTGATCCAGCCTGCAGTTTCTCACACTAGAAAAGGAGCAAAGCTAACTAATAATTGCTGGCCTAAAAGTTTTTGGTCAACTGTAGGTAGATAAAGGAGCAAGTAGGGCTTTCTTTTGCACCAACTTACGAGTTTCAATTTTGGATCATCTTTGTAACACCATGTGGGCTAACACTATATAGTCAGGACCAAGACCACTTTTCATAGCTGAGGACATTTTCAGTGGGCAGCAGCTTTATAAATACTTTAAAATCCCTCATCATGAGGGATTATGCAGAAACTAACCCATCTGTTCAACAGAATTGTCTTCACAATGTGAAAAACTGAGGAGAGACCACTACTTTCTAGCTATGCCTAAGATTTCATCAGATGGGAACATGGGAAAAAAGTTATTTTAGAGGGAAATTGAATTTGCTTTCACCAGTTTGTACTGTGTGCAGTTAGCTGTGTCAAAGCAACTTTTATTGCGTATTAGGCAACTGGTAAACTCTTTAAAGAATAGCACTTGGGAGAAAAGAACACTCAACACATGATGGTACTGTCGGTGAGAGAAACTTCAGGAATGATCCAGATGGAGGTCACTCTCAGTGGGTTGTATTAGTCACTCTTGTTTGACCACCGGCTGCAAGAAGCACTTAATTGTTAGTAAGGCTTATTTTCATATTCTGGCAAAATGTTCTCTAAAGCTAAACAGACATTTCTAATGAAAATGTAGACACCTACAATGAGATGGGCAAAGTGCCTTTAAAAGAAGTCAAAAGTGAGCATGAAAAGGAGGCAATAGGGATCTTAACAGTTTCTCTTTCAAACGTTTTGGATTTTATTTCAGATTGCAACCCACAGATCTCTTAGGGCAATAGTTGCAAGAATTGGCAATGTCTAAACAAAACTGTTGGCAATAGAGAACTACAAAGTGCTTTAAAACCTCATCTGTTGATGAAGCTATAACTAAGTTTCACACACACACACAATTTGCACTTAAGTATTTCAAAGTGTTTCCTAACGTTTCAGGGGAAAGTATTTCAGACACTGCTATCTTGGTCCACAAGTAACATTAGGTATAAATTCTTCTCTTGCACCCAGCAGGCACTCAATGAGCATGTTAACGTTAATGAGTGAACTGAGTCTTTTGCACAAAGATGTCATTTAGAACACTAAAATGATTGGTAAGTTTGATGGCAAGAGTTTCAGCTTTTTAAAGGGCAAGGTAATAACAAAAAAAAGCACACCTTTTATGCATGTTATTTAAATATGAAAATATTTTTAGCATATTATGTTAAACATTCTTATTTATATTTCCATTACCTAAAGTCTTTTTACTCACAAATACTCTCCATTATGTAAGGCATGGTAACCAGTTTGATAATGAAGGTATTTTGGTTTTATGTGAGTTGATGTGTTGAAAAGCTTCAATCACATTACAATCTTGAAAAACATCTCAGTGCCAGCCCCTCCTCTCCCAGTTGACATCACTGCAATATGGTTAAACAATATGCAACATGCCCTTAAATTTTACCTTGTTTTGGGGAAAATGTGCTGAAGAACCTAGAGCTTTTTTGTTTAGCACCTTATATCAAAGTAATGAAAATGGGTATGATGATTACATGTGCAAATGTACAAAATCATTAACTCTACAAAGATACATCATTCCAAAATTACAGAAAAGTTTAAAGCATGCATTTAATTATTTCTCATTAAAGGGTTGCTGAGTGCTTCCCCTGAAAAAAGGTGGCTGTTTTCAAAATCAGCAACTGCTGGTGAGGATTTCTTGGCACAGTTCTGACCAGCACGTTACTGCTGCATCTTCCTGATCATCTCGGCGGACACCGGGGGATGGAAATTGATTGTGTGGTGCCGCAGGCCCTGAGCTGTCTTGTAACTCTTCCCACACCGGCACTTGAATGGTTTGCGGACTCGAATCTGTGTTCGGTGACCATTCTTAGCATGGTACTTTATGCCATTCACATTCTGTGGGGAAGATAAGAAATTTCCTATTAGGAAGAGTCGCCAAATGGCCTGTCACACTGCTACAAACCGCAGCAGGGGTCGGGTTCCAGTGAAGTCGCTTCTGGGTGGCATCCGCTGAGGGTGGGTCTCAAGCGGGCCTGTGTCCTGGGCTGTGTAGACCAGGCCTGTGTAAGAAAATTAATGGTACAATTCCCTGATTTTTTGACGCCTTGCTTCCTGGGTTGTAACATTTTCTATTCGGAAGAAAGTTAGTAGGAAATCCTATGAATATTTCAGAATGGCCAATGGAATACTTTTCTAAAGAACACAACAGAAACCAGGTTAGGGCAGACTGAATATGAGACATGTAAGCTTTGGGAAGTACCCTGCCACGCCTCACCTGGAATCCTCGCCAGTTAGCGCCCTGCTTCAGCAGAGCTGAGCAAGAGCGCGTGGGCATGGACTACCCTGAACGGCACACTGCACTGCACACTGCGTGATGCTTCTGAAACTTTAGATTGTCTATGTAAAGTTAGTCCCGTGACTGACAAAAGGCGGATAAGAACCTGGATGTTCAGATTAGCAGAATGCCCTGGAACCCACATGCAGCCGATAACTGCCCAAAATTCCAGTTCCAAGGAAGCTCATACTCCCTTCAGGCCCCAGCAGAAACCTGCACATGCACACAGACCCCCTTACACACATAACTAAGAACAAAAATAATTTTTAAATGCTATTTGCAGTATACTTTTTGTTTTTACATCACAACCATGCACTTTTTAAGCTAGGAAAACTTGGCCTTACCTAGACTTTGTCTACAACTTACAGGTTTAGCCTTAGAGTTAAAGGCTTATTTTCATGAATGCCTGTAGACAAGTGAGAATGAAGTTCCCTCCCTCTGTGCAGCTGCTAAATGTGGAGAACACCCAACCGCTTCTGTGTCACCTAGCTTTCTTGAAAACACTGGCGATTTTCTGTATACACCAGATACTTGGAAATAGTTCTGAAGTCCCCATTCAGGTACAGGATATTATTTTAATGCCCTGTTGAAGATAACCATGATGAGGATGGATTTTACAATCCTCAACAATGTAATTTAAAAAAAAGATTAGAAGAATGGTTTCCAATTAGTGTTACTAGTTGACATATGGTATGTAAGATTTATTCTTTACCAGGTTAGCAAACTGGTTCATGTTACTCATTTGGTTGAGGCTGAGGAACAGGCTGCAGAGGTTAAAAAAATGCAGAGGTGACACTTGAAGTCTGAATGTCTATCAGTAACTGCCACATCAGACAGGAACAGAAGAGACTGTGAGCGCTGGTGTTGAGCACAGTTACTTGAAAGGGTAAGGAAGGTGGCCGGGAAGTACTACCTAGGCTGGCTCCTACTTTTTCCAATTCCTTGAGCTCTCAGAAAACTGAGTTTCCTGCCGTTCTCTGGCACGCAGCACAATGCCTAGTACAAAGCACACAATATTGCTAAGTGAATTTGTTATATGGCATCTCACAATGCATGCCTCATTATTGGAAGAGGCTGAGAAGGTTGCTGTTAAAAGCGAGGCTGAAGAGG